TGGAAAGGTTGGTTTAAAAGGAAGCCGAAAGGAACTCAACATTTGTTGAGGTTCCCCTTGTCTTTGATTGAATTTCACGACTTGTTGTTGTGCGAGGTATAGCTGAAACAGACGACGCAACACACAAACGCTTGCCACGCGTTTTGAAACCATTTACACATATATATATATATATATATAGTAATATAGACACGTGCGCAACCACAGCCATGGCACATGCACGCACTCCCCATACACAAACACACACACAAACGCATATATTTATATACAGAACCAACTGTTTGAATGAAGACACCCATCAACCCCCACACATTCCTTGCAAGCACAAAGCGACACACGCACACACACAAACAACCTGTTTGTTCTGATTGACACCAACCAGCCCGGTGAACCTTAATCAGCAGACGACCCGCTGCACAGCACAGCTCGCGGACTTTTCAGGAAAAGTTGTTATCTCACTGAGTCACAAGCTGGCAGCTCCGTCACCAAGTTGCTATTGATGATCGTGTTGACATTGACAATGATGACGCTGATGGAGGTGGTGATGGATGGCGGTGGCAGTTGTCATGTAGGACAACTAAGTGTCACACGCATAAGGCTTCCTATGGAAAAGGACACTCTACTGTCTTTTATTGATTTTGCCCCACAGCCAATGGGCAGCAAAAGAAACGCAGAAACTACAGGGACTTGATCAATCGGCAAATGCTTGTCTAGCCGCTCAGTCTGCCCAACATCGCTCGGGCTGGACAGTCAATGACTGACTTCTGGGGTGGAGGTCAGGAAGACAATAAACAATCGTAACACATCAGCGTGATACCCAATTGCACAGCCGCACACACATACGTATGTGTGTGCTTGCCTGTTTCAGGGTACCCGTTTTCAGGTTGGTTCAAGGGGAATCCAAAGGACACCTACCACGCTTGGGGTACCCAATTTTGACACACACTCAAATGTTTGGGGAAAAGGTTGGAAACATGCATGCGGAATCAAACCTACCGCCACCCTTCCTTCCAGAAGTTACTTAGGGGGTGTAGATGGATTTGAAACATAGCCCTACGTCTCCAGTGCCAAAGCTCGCGTCTCCCGCAATCCGTTGCGCGGCTGCCTTGAGTCTGCCCAAAGAGTGAGCAAAGACCGCAGGCGGTGTCTACCCGCGCAGAGGCCAGGCGGGATCTAGAATCTAGGTTGTCCTGCCATGGATACTAGGTCGAATCAATAGCCTTCTCAATTTCCACGTTGGTGAAAGCAGCACGTGAAATTGCTCAGTGCTCCGGCATGATTCAATTCCCATGGCATGGACTTAAACTTGCAGTGCGCGTTTAGCGAGAAAAAGAGCGCCTTACGAGCCGACTGCGGTGCCATTCAAGCTTGAGAGCCGAGGCTTCGCCGAGACAAGAAAGCGCGCGGGAACCCGGAAAAGATGGCCATCTAATCCGTGAATGGCACGTGGGCATGGGTCAAAAAAGGGGAATCTAAAATAGGTGCCTAACGTTTGGTTTCTCTCAAGGCCAACCTAACTTGCACCCTCAACAAAAGCGCATCTCCGCAGGAGCAACAACCGTTCGTGGCTTACTGAACGCTCTAAATCTCTAGCCAACACTTGCTGCAAGCTTCTGCATGGTTTCCTCCTAGCCATGCTGGGTGGAAATCGCTTCTTTGCTTGTCTCCCAGAATCTCCTGGACTGCGAACTTCTCCTTCATTGGAGGTCAAAGCGAATGTTTCAAAAACTATAAATTCCATATGTGTTTCCAAGAAGTGAACCGCAGCTGCCTAGTGTCCCTAGTGAAAAAGGGAACCTCTCTGGGTTCACCGTCTTGAGTAGAGGAACCCGCAAACCACTCAGCAAAACCTGGTAAAAAGGGCGCCGCTGAACAACGGGATTAATTACTCACCAATTGTTCGCTGAGCTCTAAGAGCGTCCATAAAATCCGAATTTCCCGTCGGCTTCCGCATCTCCGCATGGGCATGCCGGGTCTGCTGATCGCTGAAACCTCTGCAGACCTCCGCACGGTGGATTCGCGGGAGTCAGGAAACCCTGGCTGTTTGATCAAGGAGTCAATCTCAAATCAAGAAACCGGACATTCTACATCACAAACACTTTCGTCAGAGCTGTCTCGCTTAGTCTGAAAGACTTACCCACCTGCAACAATGCAATTAGCCTTCATCTTTTTTGGTGGATATAGCCATGCCAGGTTCTTTTGCCCATTTGGCGTAGCCGCTTTGCCACAAGACCTATGACGCACCGCGCAGGCACGCACGAGCTGCGCTGATTGGTCGTTTAAGCCACCTCTCAAATTGCAGGCCATCAGGTCAACACCTCGAACCGTGTCCTCCGCTAAGGAACGGGGATGGTGGCAAGAGCCAACACAACAACGGTCGCCCTAAGGCCTTGGGGACTGTCATCTTCGGGGCTGGCGGCTTAGCAAGGCAGGCAGGACACTTTCAGCACAGCTCAATTCAAGGTGGTGCTGACAGCTGAGCGCAAAAGAATATTTGCAGTATCCCGCGTAACCTCCTGTGCCGAAAAGAAGGTACCTCACAGTTTGTGCAAAATGAGTATCAAGTAATGACTGTTTTCCATACGCACGACTGGTTCAACAGCTGTGACATAGCAAGTATCACTTTATGATTCAGTAATTCAAACTGGACATGGCGTAGCCTTTACAAACCATTCGGAACAACACACTCCTAGTGAAAGACCATCAAAGGACAATAAGAATTAACCCGGCAAAGGATCTTCAACCCCTTCGCTAGCTCATAGGGTACATGCGAAACGCCCGTCACAGCTAGAAACCCCGTCGCTTCAACCGGATTAGGGTGCCAGCAAAACCCTCCTCGCCAGAACCCGATTAAGGTGCCAACAAAAACCTTTTTGCTAGAACCCGATTCGGGTGCCAGCAAAAACCTATTCGTTGGAACCCGATTCAGACAGAAAAAACCTCTTTGTTAGAACCCAATCAGGGTGCCAGCAAAAACCTTAACCAGAACCCGATTCGGGTGCCAGCAACAACCTCTTCGCCAGAACCCGATTAAGGTGCCAACAAAAACCTTTTTTTCTAGAACCCGATTCGGGTGCCAGCAACAACCTATTCGTTGGAACCCGATTCAGCCAGAAAAAACCTCTTTGTTAGAACCCAATTAGGGTGCCAGCAAAAACCTTAACCAGAACCCGATTCGGGTGCCAGCAACAACCTCTTCGCCAGAACCCGATTAAGGTGCCAACAAAAACCTTTTTGCTAGAACCCGATTCGGGTGCCAGCAACAACCTATTCGTTGGAACCCGATTCAGCCAGAAAAAAACCTCTTTGTTAGAACCCAATTAGGGTGCCAGCAAAAACCTTAACCAGAACCCGATTCGGGTGCCAGCAACAACCTCTTCGCTAGAACCCGATTCAGGTACTAGCAACGACCTATTAACTAGAACCCGATTCGGGTGCCAGAAAAGACCTGTGCCCGCAAAAACCTATTTGCTAGAACCCCCAGCGCGAATCACGTCGCAGCTAGCCCCCAAATTTCGGGTACCAGCAAACAACCCTTCGCTAAAACCAATCATAGGGTAATAGCAGAATCCCGGTTGCTAGAACCCAATTAGGGTGCCAGCAGACAACCCTTTGCTGGAGGCTGATTAGGGCGCCAAAAATAATAGTACCCGATTTGGGTGCCAGCAAAAACCTATTCGCTACAACCGGATTCGGGTGCCAGCGAAAACCCCTTCTCTGGAAACCCGATTCACACCGGAAAACTCTCTGCTGGGACCTTGCTTGGGTTCCAGCGGGAAACCCCTTCAGCAAGACTCAGTTTGGACACCATCTGAAACCCCGGCGCTAGAACCTTTATTGGGCACCAGCTGGCACCCGTGACAGAGCTCCTTTACCTCTCAGGCGAGCTATCGACACTGTGTGTGTGTGTGATTTGCAGGCCGGGTGTAATTTCGCATAAGTGGGTCGTGTTGAAATGTGTCGGTTTGCCTCGCGCTCAGCTGGTCAAGTTTGTGATCGTGGCATCTGCATCAAAACTCGCATGCATCTTGGCCTGTGCTGCGCGCAGTCTTGCAATGCTGGGTATGGTTCCAAATAGGGCCCCCGAAATGGTGGCTTCCCTTCTGGTTTCGCCCATGGAGCCGAACTTTTGGTTCCTTACTGGATGATTTACAAAGTCTCCCTCCTAAAGAGACCATAGACTGCCGAGCCTCATGTGAGGTCCAACCAACACGTCCTGTCACTGGAAAAGACATTCAAATAACCGGTCGGCAAACCACAATTCCACAAAACAGTGGCCGACAAAGGCACCCTTGTTTGACCTTTGATTATAACAACAGCTCTCCAAACAAAAAGAACAAAAGGGGCACCACTGGAGGTGTGGCTCCAGTACAGACTTCTAGCGATGTGCATTCCTTGCAGCAACTGCTCGGCGCGGCACAGTTTATTGTGTATGCAGCTGGAAAGATCGGAAGCCCGCGACAAATCTCTGGTGATAGACTGGCTGTCCAAAGCCCAGTGCTTCCAGATGCCAATGTAGGAATAACTGGGGGAAATAATCTCGTGAAAAGCCTGGAGGAAAGACAACTTGGTTACGTCCTGCGGAGATATCCGGATGTAGCAAGCGCATGCTCCGTGGTCACGCAAAAACACATAAAAGCTGGGAATCACTGGCATGGTTCCAGAGACTTTATGCCATGTTTGAAGGCCCGACCAAGTTAGATATTGTGTTTCATCCCTGATAACACTGTTGCCAGTGTCATGTTTCCCACAATAGCCCCTGAGTCCTCCAACTGCTGACCGCTCTCAAACACCAATCTGGGTGTTTCTCAAGGGAACCGCGAACATACATTATACATTTCCCTTCACACAGCTGCCGAAATGAGGTCCCAAATCTCTGACACCATCCAAACTGCACCCCGCAGCGTTTGGTAGCAAACCCTAGAGGTACATCCAAATTTAACGCATGACTCGGGCTTCCGCAGATCCTTCTCGGCCATTCCGCAGCTGTCTCCACAGCTTCAAATGGCAACTGTGCCGGATCCGCCTCGCCACGAATCGAATGGAACCCAAGGGAACTCTCTGCGAAGCTACGTCCAACCTGCCGGCATCAAGTTGGGAAACATTGCTGCTGAGTCTGAAGAAGGGGCGAGCGTGTTTTCATACTGTCCAAGAAGTGCATGACAAGTCAAACACTGGCTGAGGACTTCAACCAAAGGAGCCCCACCCATTCATGCGTACTGATGCCATCATAGTCATGCGTCCTTGTCAAGAAACTGAAGCGGCCAAAGCAGGAACACAGGGTTCCCTATAGTTCGCATTTAATCATCATCCCACCAAAGGGAAACTTATTCTCACATTGCTTCAGATGTACTTTCAAATTCTATCTATGCCCATGAAAGCCGAGATTGGGCGGAGCCCTGCTGGGCAAAATCTGCTAGGCTTACCCTCTTATACACAAACAGGGAATCATAAAGCCCTGGCAAACCAGTAGCAAGTTGATGCGAGTTGTCTTGGACTCTCAGGTTTCCCAAGTTGATGGAAGTTGCCTGTGGCGCTGTAGGCTTCTGGCACGCAACCCAGAACCCTTCCATACCCTTTTGCGCATGCCTGATTTCATGCGCATCGTTTTCCCGCCACGCCAACTGCATCCAGGTCACTCTTTCCGCGAAGGACAGGCTCCGTCTCATCATCCTGGAACTTCTGGAGCAAGTCCAGCAGCGGCCCCAAGGCTTCCTGAGCCAAGGAATGGAACATCGAAGCCTCGGGCGAACCTAAGTAACCGGAGACTGTGTATTGGCAAAATCCTGCACCGTTTGCAATGGAGGAAGCCCTATGAAAATACTGGCATAAACCACTTACCAACAGGCGCAGGACTTTTGTCCATCCGCAGCATAACCCTCACAGTAGCTCAGTCTTGCCTGCTCTTCCAAACTTCTGAAAATCTCAAACATTTCCAAGGTAGCGGAACCCATCAGCACTAGTTGCGTCTATCCCATGGAACAAGACAGGTATCTCCATGGATAAGCTCGTTTGACCGCGGAGCTAGCTATGCTGAGTGCAGACCAATGTCAGGATTGTTTTCAACAAATATGCTTGCATTCCAAGGAATGGGGGTAGACATTGCCGGCCAAAGTAACAAGACAAGTGAACAACTGTAAAAACTGCAGCAGCCCTCAAATGGTTCCTCGAGTGCTGCAAGCCGAGCGAAGTGTTTGTTAGAATGACAATATCGGCGACACCCAACAGCTTGCTCATGTCCCTAGGCAAACAGAGGCTAAAGGAAACCTAGCCTGCTTTCGAATCCTTTGTGCTGCTTGTTACCCTGCTCAACCAAGCAACAAATGCGGCTCACACATCCGCATGAACCACGTCGCCGTGATTTACCATGGCGACCCCACCACGAATCATGAGGGCCCCCCTCAGCAGCCTCTGATAAAACATTGCTGACTCTCAGTAAGGAGGTAGGGAATTCGAAGGATTGCGGGCGTGAACCAAAGGATCCCCGGTTCACAAATCCACAAGCGATTCAGAATGGTCATTCCCTCCGTCCGGGGAATCGGAGGGGCGCCTGGAAGTCTTCGTAGCGCTGCGAGGAACTCTTCTGCGCAGGCTTTTCCGGGGTGAGTGCGGAAGGCCTCGACTGCACGAAAGATGGAGGACCCCCCCCATTGGTTTTTCAAGTCACCTCCTTTCGTTTATGTTACAGGCCATTTGACAGCTATTGGAGGGGCCTGGGCAAGACATCAAGACATGCGATGCTGATGCGGACCCCCCTGTTGGCTGATGGCACTAAACGGAAAGCAGCCCCCCGCATTTCGAGAGAAACACACAACAATGGCCAAGCAAACTCAAAACACACACCAAGAACACACAGGCAGGTCTCTCCTCGTGGATGCTTGCAAAGTCAGTGCCAATGTCCCGTCAGCGGCTGACTAACATGTTTCGCTTACCCCAACAAATTGGAAGAAGCTTGGCATACAAGATTCCGAAAGGGAAGTTTAAAGGTACCCCTGCAGCAACCGAAGCCGACAAAGAATTACTTTTCATACCGGCAGGCGGGAACAACAGCCACCTTCAGCAAATAGGACCAACCAAGTCCATCTAAGGATTCTGCACGGGGTGAACAAAGCACAGCCTGACACGGTAGCAAAGGACCAGGGTTGGCCAACCCCTTGCTGAAAATGTTTAAGCTAGCTTTGTTTGAACAACAACACATCTACTGTTGTCCGTTCAAAGATCCTTGGCCCAATCCTGCTTTTTGGAATCTGTACGTAGCAAGCCGTCCGTTCTTTGAGGACCCGTGCCGTACAGGCCCCGTTTCCGGGGTTCCAGGATGCGTGGAGAGGACGCCGCCTAGGCGCCACGTCACATGGACCCTCCGCTTTGAGACATGTTTGTGCTCTTGGCTTGACTTTGCTCGCTGCAGATGTGCAAAGGAAAAGGCAAGGAAATGAACGGAAACATGATTTTGAGCTGTTGTGACCAGTTTTGTTAGTGTTCGGACGAACCGCGTTTTGAGCGCACAAAGCTGAACCACGACCGCGTGCCAACGGAACCGCGGTTGGAACAAACAGAATTCACTTCTTGTCGAAAATCATGCTCGGAACGGTCCTCGTTCTGAGTGTCTCAGGTGCGCTTTTCGTGCGTCTCGAGTTCTCTTTGTGTGCCTTTCAAGCAGTGTTATTACTTCCTTTTTCTGCTCTATTTCGCCAGGGTCGGCACCACACTTTTCCATCACATCTAATTGTTACTTCTTAACTCACTGCGATAAATGTTTCCCTCAACATTTTGAGGCCAACACTTCCCTGGGACCAATCGAGGCCAGCACATTCCCAACGCTCAGGCTGGAAGAGATGCCTCGGATCGATTGGGAAGGCGTGGGGAATTCAAACGTAGAAGACCCTCCAAATACTTAAATTCATCCGAGCGGTACAATTAAAGCTTTGGCTCGAGGCCAAGCAAGTAGAATGCTCATCGCCTTTGGTTCAACCTTCACAGATTCGGCAACCATAGTCTCACGAGCTCGGTTCGGATTGGTCAGCAATTCTGCACAAACCAATCTTCAATCATGGGGAAAAGCATGACCGGGGTACCAAACCTACAGCCACGGATGCATGAAAGGCCAGCAGTCGCCGTGCTCTAACTTTGCATAAAGCCAACATCGCAACCGGCAACAAAGTGCAGCAGATTGAACATGTGACTTCCCGACAAAAAACAGTTGGGTGAACATAGATGGCACCATTCGCACATTTGGGCTTGGTCGTCCCTTGTACTTTCCCAAACTTTCACTCTGGTGTACAAGAAATTGCAAAGCCAATACCCCCCTCCTTCCAGTCGGCAAATCTGACCCACGACCATCGAACCAACAAAGCCCAGTACGCCGATAGAACTTCGATTCCTCATGTCCTACTTGCAATAGCAAGGGTGTTCATCCTAGAATCAGCTACCCTGCATGTAACTCATGCAACATAAGTACCAGGGAAACCTGGCTGGCATACGGGTCTTGCGGATTGAGTTTGAGCAAGCAAGGCTTTCATCCTACTTAAATATTCAATCCACTTAGGGTTATAACGATTGCTATAATCAAAGGAAGTTTAGAAGGAACTTCCGTGTTACGGCAACTAATTGAAAGGTAGCTCTCTGAGACAAATGACAAGAGAAGAAATAAGCCCGCGAGAAAAAATCGCATGCATGTGGCAGGGGAAGAGAAAGTCGCAAAAAGCGTGACCCTGTGCGTGAATTGGCGTCTCCGGAGATGAGAAAGCTAGCCTGTCCGCCGCGTCTGGTCGGAGCGGTCTCGGAGCGGTCTCGGAGCGGTCTCGGAGCGGTCTCGGAGCGGTCTCGGAGCGGGCTCGGAGCGGGCTCGGCGCCGGGCCCATCGGCACGGCAACGCAGAGGTTTCGCGAGGATTGAATTGCGTGGCAGGCGCAGCATTTTGGCAAGGTCGGGTGCAGGTTTCGTGGCAAGCGCAGCACTTTCGCAAGATCAACTTTTCCTAAGGATTGAACTGCGTGGCAGGCGCAGCACTTTCGCAAGGTCAAGTACAGATTTCGTGGCAGGCGCAGCACTTTCGCAAGGTCAAGTACAGCAAGGTCAAGGACAGCTTTCGTGGCAGGCGCACCACTCTCGCAAGGTCAGGTGCAGATTTCGTGGCAGGCGCAGCACTTTCGCAAGGTCAAGTACAGATCTCGCAGGTGCAGCGCTTTCGCAAGTTTAGGTACAAATAGACAGACAGACAAGATAGAAAGTAGATAGTTAGAGAGATAGATAGATAGATAGATAGATAGATAGATACATAGATAGATAGATAGATAGATAGATAGATAGATAGATAGATAGATAGATCGATAGATAGATAGATATATCGATAGATAAATAAATAGATAAATAGATATATATATATATATATATATCGTTATATATATAGATAAGTAGATAGATATAAATAAAAAAAAAACACGTAAACAAGCAAAACAACAGCAATAAATAAATAAAGACAGAAAACAATTAAAAAAATAAAATAAGGAAAGAAGGAAGGAAGGGAGGAAGGAAGGAAAGAAAGAAAGAATGGAAGAAACACAGAATGACGGAACAAAGAGAAACCGTGAACAGGAAGAAGAAGAGAGAACATAATTAATCAAGAAAAGAAAGGGAAAGGGAACTATAGTGTTTATATTCTTGAAACTTCCGCCCACCGGCTTCGCCGGCTCTACTGGTACAGATTACTGGGGTGCATCATCTTACCATGGATTTCTAGGAGGTTGGCCAGGCGGCTCTGGGCGCGGTGGAGCACGAGGGTAGTCTGATGGAGGCTGCCTGGAGGCTGGGTGTCCACTCTACAAAGGTGTCCACTCCCCCCAAAACACTATGAACCTCCAAGCAGAATGCCGACTTGCTCGTGGACGTTGAACAACTAATCAGGGTGCGCTGTACTCAAACAAGCAGCTCTATTCTCGACAAAGCTCGTGGGCACACACGCGATGTGTGACCAGAACTGTGAAAGCACACACCTAGAGCCTTGGACGTTTAACAGGAAGTAACTCAAGCGGCTCATCCTTGGTCCTGTCTGTGTTGGCCCCAGCTCAAGATCCCCCTCTGAGAGTGCATTCGCACACGCATACTGAAACGCTCATCCTTATGTTCATGCCTAACATCAGCAGCCCCGGTCAAAAGGCGCTCAGGGCGGACAGAACACCAAGGCGCCTCTGCTCCCAGGACGGGAAGCCGTCCTGACTTGGTTTGCGGGGATTTGCTACACGAGCACCCCCAAGGGAGTTCTCTCTTCCTTCAGCCACTGGAACAACTAACCAATGATGCTGGAGGGGATTGGGCTCTTTAACTCCGCATGGATGTGGAGTACTCGTGGCTCCGTGGCTAGCCCAATGTGCATGGGTAGACAGTTTCGCTTTTCCCACCATGGCACAAACAGAGCGGTGATCAGACAGTTGGTGACTATGGTTGAAAGCTTTCTGAAGGCTGCAACAAGGCAACAAGGGGCGCACACGTCACACGCCGTCAGCCCAATCTCAAGGCCATCTCCTCTCAAAGGGCCAAGGGACCTGTCAGGTTAGATGTGGGTGGAAGGTGAAGAAACAGACTTGGCCGGAGAAAGAGTCCCAGGAAGCAAACAAACAAACAAACAAACAATGAAATACAATAAGAAATGTAAATGTAAGCAACGAGCGGAGAAGTTGCTTTGACTTTCCAACCCTTTGACATGAATCTGTGTTGCCGCTATTTGTCGAAAGCGTGCATCTGCAGGCGTGCGTTCATTCAAGTCACTTCGGCCACTGCAAACATCTGGAAGGATGCGTAAGGTGTATATATATATATATAGTCTTGAAGGCGATGACATCCAGGAAGATAATCACCGCAGAGATGTAGCTTGCACGTGACAGGAAGCAGTGTCAAGAGTGTGTGAATCCCTCGCTCTGCGAATCATATGATGATGAATAAAATTCGCATAAGGGCACTGGCAAAGGTGGGTTCATTACATTAATGGCCTATACTTATCAAAGGTGAATGGTCAATACCATGATAACATCGCACATCTGTGCCATCCAAGCGGTCCATTCCCGCTGTCCTGGTACTCAAAGCCTTGATGCTCGAATCCAGAACCTGGCACACAAGCCAATAGGCACACAAGAGGAGTGCAAAATGATGCGTGCGTGAAAAAAGAAAAACAACATCAATATGAGCACCTGACGCACCTGATTCATGGACCTCCCGCTTGCTTGTAAAGGGGGGGTCCTTTTGTAGTGGAGATTAGGGGGACCCCTAAATTCATAAATGGTCAACACTACTGGCCAGCACTGCTTCGGGCTACTGGCCTCATTGACACAGATGTCAAACACCAAACATGCGCCATGGTTTGATGGGAACATGCGTGGGCAAGACATACACGACATGCAGCTCATACCAGGGGAGGACAAGGCCAGCACACACACACACAAACGAGCCACACCCCTCCAGAGTCAGATGACGCAGGCAAGCAATGCGTTACATCGTGCTGCATGTACCACGTGCAAGCAGCCACGCTCCTAGGCTCCTCGAAAATGCGATACATGTGAGCACTCTGAGTCTCTGCGTCTCGTCCCTGGCATTTCTTGCCATCAGAAGACCAAGCTTCAGAGTCATGTGATCACTGAGCTGCTTTTTTTGCAAATGGATAGGGATGTCACCCTTCAGCATGTGCTAAAGACACCTCCGAATAGGCCCACGTAGGCCTCAATCAACCACCATGGACAGGAGCTTAGCCAGGGTTGGGCCAAGCGATTGTGTCAACATGTTTAAACAACACTTACTTAAACAACATTAAACGACCTCATGATGATCTGTACCTCTGTGGACCAGGGGCGGTCGCTTCAAACTAATCTTGCCCGACCGTGGAATCAGCTCCTTGGGGCTCCCAAGAATCCGTGGGCAGCGCCAGCCCTCCCGCCTGCATCTGGCCATGGGCCTGCCTCCTGCCTCGGATCAAAAACCGGCAACGCAGATCCCAAATTTCACGAGGCAATCCAAGGGTCATGTAAATCAAACAGCTGGAGAAGTCCTGTAGAACAGACATGAGTTCAGGAGTAGCTGCAAAGCAAACACCCACTCACAACAAACAAACAAGTTATCCCATGCTAGGTTTAAAGCTGATTGAAAGACTTGCTCTCGCTCCAAGCGGCAATAACTTGCTTAGCAGCATTGAGAAGACAAAACCATCGGATTCAAAGAGCATGATCTACTGCACTTGCCAGCTCATTCCAAACGATATGTCACGCCCGAGGCAAACCCTCCGCAAAACCTTGGTCTCTTCAACACTTCTATACTATATTTCTGGTAACGGTTTCGCACTCGCCGGCAGAACGATACCGTGCCAGCGCCTCCTCGCTTGCGTTGGAGTCAAGGCGCTCCAGCCCCGGCGGCAGGCCAGGGGGGGGCCAAGCCAAGCCCGCGGCGTAGAGCGCGGCGCAGACGTTGGCGGCGCCCGCCAGGGCGCCCGCGTGGAAGGCATCGTGGTACCCGGCCTGCGGTTCTGCGGTTCTGGGCGGGTGCCTTGTTTCAGCGCGGTGTGGGTTTGCTGGATGGACCGGAAAGCAGAATCTCGTGGCTTCCTCGTCATTATAGGAGCTTCTGGGCTCCAGTCAGGATGCTTGCCTGATGGACAGCCATGGACGAATTATTTGGGAAAACAGGTATTGTACTACACGCCTGTCACAGAACAGATCCTAGGTCCTAGGCTTCCTGAAAATTTGCAGCATCAAGAGGCTCATGAGGGGAGCTGCCGCTATAGCGGTGCTGACTCACTCGACTTGAAGTAGCGTTAACAAGAGACAACATTTACTATGATTGTCGCTTCAAGCTGGCGTCGTTTGTCCAAATGCCTTGACAGCGGCCAGGTCCACAGGGGGAGCGGGCTCAGGATCCCGGTGCAAAAGTGAGGCCAGCTCCTGCATCGCTCAGAGCCAGGGTCAGCCTTTGCGGTCAACCGCATGGACGTTCAATAGTTCAATAGCCTTCCGAAACTTCCCATAGTCATACTTATGCAGCGATCGGCGATCGTCCAGCTAATCAGTAGACACCAACCAGGCACAAAGAAGCACTCATCGGCACGAACAACTTGTCTTTTTATGTTTGTTCCTGGAGTGCCCTCGCTTCATGTCACCGATCATGCAGTCCATTCCCATGTCAAATGAGTCAAGTGCCAACATTCCGAAGCAAACAGCCGGCGCCAACCCCGATGCCAACAAAGCTCTGGCCAAAACTGCAAGGGACCTGCCGGTCCTTTTTCGCGGGCTGAGGCCAAAACCTCTGACTCGACCAAGCAGCAAGCACTCAAGAATCCAGGATACGAATTAAAACAAAGTAGAAAAGTAGCCAGGCAACCGAAAAGCAATTGACTAGCCAAGTAGCCAAGACACACACACACACTGGCACAAACAAGCGCAAACATAAACAAACACGCAGACTAACAAATGAACAAACAAGCGACCAAACAAGCAAGCAATAATGCACAACAAACAAATCAGCGAAGCCACGCGGACACCTTGGATCGTGTATTCAGCTGCCGCGTCCTGCGCCCGTGCTCCGCCAAGCGACTGAGTGCAAATCTTGGCGAGCCTTGGGTCTGGAGCCAGGCATGGGGGCGTCTCAGTCGTCTCTACAACAAACAAAGCTCGGTTGTTTAGCTTACAGCGTTCCTTGGTTTATCCACTTAAATATGCGTGTCACATTGTGGCTTTTCGCAGCTGTTGTGTGGACAAAATGACACTCTGGTTTCATGACTTGATATTCTACTACCGGCGGATTCAATGCAAAGCCTGTACGGGCCTGCTGTTCGATGGTGCCGTTGTTAGATTGCTTGCCAAGGACAACTCAATGGAAAATGAAACATGGCCAAGTGCTGTCCCAATTGGGCCATTTAACTAGCTTGCAAAGGCTGAGAGAACTTGCCAAGGGGCCAATCAAATTGAATGACACTCCAATACATGGCGAAAAATGGCTAGTGTGTCCCTTCAGGATAGCATTTGTTTGACAACATTTGTCCTGATCTACCATTCTCAGTGTGTCAGGCCTCGAAGGTTCAAGGAAAACTCATGTCCACATTGATGGATGCTACATATGTGGGTGATCACCGGCCAAGAGGCGATTCCAAAAAAAGAACACCCAGATATGAGCCATAGTCGTATGTGGATCATGGCCATGGCTTCCTTACGAACTTTTGCATTCGTTGTCCAAATCCTCTAAAGGATCCATGAACAACATCCGTCCCACCCCCAAGCCTGTGAGAAAAAAAAAGGCACATCCCAAGGCCGAAGTGGCAAGCTCGCCGGCGGAGACGGCGGCGGACGCTTGGTGAAGGAAGCGAAGCAGGGCAGGTGGCAAAGCCACGCCTGGAGATCAAAGGAACAAATGCGCGTCTGACTCCCGCAAAGCCAACCAATCAACCAACAATTCACCCACCCACCCAAACAAAGGTAGCATTAAGCGAAAAACACGTGCATCCATGTTCACCATAGGTTAATCTACACAATCCATTGTGAATTCGAATCTTGGATTCTTTTGGAGGGTACATGCGGGAATTGCGGAATACATGCAGCATTTGGGAATGGCTCTGGACAATCCTCCATCATCAGCAAGGAAATGAGGAATCCCAAGTGAGGGCCTCGATATAGTCCGCCCAGACGGGCCGTCACACAAAAATAAGGTACGTTAACCGAGGGCAGGTGTTCTGGTGTATTTGCCGTTTAAGCCAAAGAACAAAACACTAGTTTGGCACGTCCCCCAAAGACACCAAGTAAACCAAGCTCAAATCATGGTACATCAAGTAGCTTTCCTCAATCGTCATCTGCAAGAATTGTTGCTTCGGCCATCTAAGCGAGTGATCCCCTGCCAAACATTGGATAGCTGGGTGGCACGTTGGCTTTTGTGCAAGATTGCCCTACCCAAACCAATCGTAGATAGCTGCCAAAGCACTTCGGAGTTACGACGATGTGGAGGGCCTCCTGTGTCTTGCCTGATGATCATGTGATCATTCTGGCGGATGTCGTCCATTGATTAAGTCATAGCCATGCGAGCCACTGTCACCAAATACTATCCTGCTCGGCATGGAGAAAATATCGAGTTCTCTGGTGTTTGCGGGAAACTTAGAAAGCCCCCATGCCCTCCCAAATGAAACGTAAATTGGCAAAATTCGACCAAGCTCATGCGCCTGTGTCTTTTAAAGAGAAACCAAACAAGAATTAGTCATTCATTTTGGGGGGTCGCCTATTTGGAGTCACACCCGCGTTGGCTTTCGCTATTGACCTGCCGCCACTCACGCCGGGCTCAGCCGCTTTTTGTTGCCGAGGCGCGCAGCGCTTGAAGTAGCTCTCGCTCCGCCGCTCCAGCAGCAAGGGCTTCGCAAAGCCCGAGGCCTGCAAGGTTTTTGGGGTCTTTGAGCGGCTCCTTTGATGAAAGGTGGTACTTTTGGGGGTGTTTTAGCAGTTCCGTTTCAGGGAGTTGGGGGCGCTTTGAGAGGGAAATCAAAGGGCACGGAGGCCCCACATGCCTTGTTTTGGGACACACCCCGCTGGGCTATGCTGTAAGGCATTGGGATGTTGAAGACACGCCAGTATGACTTCCAGCAGACACCTATTGCCCAATTACTTGTGCTCCGTTGTCTTGGGGTTACATAGCAAGAACTGGTTGACTTATCCTCGCCCCGAGCTTTTCTTCTTACATGCAGGCAGCAGCAAAGTGCAAGCCTGACACTGTTCAGCAGCGCCACACTCATGCGCCGTGTGCTTGTCATGTCCTTCATTGCAACAAATCCTACACCCGTACTTGTCTGTCTGGTATAGAACAATTCGATACAAAGCTACCCCTACAGGGTTCCTGAAAAGGAAGCGGTAAATGTGACCTTTCCGCAGGTGATGGAGGAATGCTGAAGCCTGCGTTGAATATGGCAGGTTGTCCTCAGGGCAAGAGACTAGGATCAGGGCAATGGCTTACCAGAAGAGAGCCACGCAAGGTCGCCCAACCAGTCCAGCCAGAGTGTTTTCCGAGAACCCCCGTTCCCTCTTCCCCTGTCTCCCTCGCTCCCTTTTCCGTTTCACCCCACACTCCCTGCGGTTTCGTCATTTCTTACAGGTAGACACACACATTTTACAGGTCAACATATGGACATATTATACAAGTCGGCAAGAAGAGCAATCTAAAATCAGAAGTGATCCCAAAAATAATTATGTCAGACCGCATACAGTGACCCTAAACCCTTATTTTCCACAAGTTTCCACAGCCACGCCAAAATATAAAACCAATTGAAATACCGAGATCCCCAAGTAAGCTCGCTTTGAAGCCCAGGTGTCGCCGTAAAGTAGACAGAGCTGCTGCAAAATGAAATCACATGATACTTGAAGGGATCCCCCGGGCCTTGGCATCCAAACTTAGTGAACCTCATTCCATACATATCAATCCTTGAGATACAACCTCATCTCAATAGAGACGCCTCTGGCTTCTGACACATATGAAGCGAACCTGAATGCATATCATCATATCTATTGCACTTACCCACTACATAGTAAGCAAGCCGTGGATCAAATGATCGAAACAAGCTTCCGGTCTGAAAAAGCGTCCTCGTTCCCCAGCTGGTTGGATGCGAATTTCCGGGGTCAAACCCCATGCTAAAGGGGCCTCCTCGAAGCTCCAGAAGAGGGGATGCGCCAAGACCTGCGACACCTTCAGCCGCTTCTCCGGGAAGTGATTCAGCAGCCGCCCCAGCAAGTCCGCCTAGGCCGAGACATTGGAAGAAGACGGTCTCCATTTCCATTTTTGCGGGTACTCGTTTTGAGGCTACTTGTGAGGTTTCTCCTTTTGCGGGTAGTTTTGGCCGCGTGCTTTGAGTGCCCGCAGGTAGACTTGACAACTTGAACTAAGGGGTTCCCTTCTGAGAAAATAAACTATCCGGGAATCCCTGACTTAGAGTCTATCTGCCTTGGGGTAGCCAAGAGAATAGTACACGTCGCAATTGGGCTGACATGGGAGACTCCGAAATGATTGGGTTCCACTTGGTCTTCCTTGAGCCAACCCGAGCAGTCAATATAGAAAATTCATACCAACAGTTCGAGCGCCACTTTCCCACTGCACCAATCAGCCATGCATGTTGGTCAACCCCCGCCTCTGAAAGCCTTACCTGTGATAGGCAAACCCTCGCAAAGGCCCTCCCTCCAAAACTCAGGCTTTGATACGTCTTATCAAAGGCAGAATGAGTCCTCACCGGTCGGGAGGACTCTCTGAGTGGGGCTGGTCGGGTTTTTGACTGAGCCTTGCGGACAGGCTGCAAAGAGGGGGAAGTCCTTCATCAAGCGCCAGTTGCTCACCTGGATGTTGAACGGGTCTGTTAAAGGCAAAAACTAAACTAGGATCTTGCCCCGTTTGGCGTCTGTTGGAAAGGAGCAAATACAAAACATGTGCTATTCAGCACCCAGTCGCGTGGTGGGCCTCGATGTTGGCGCAGATGCTCGCAGGCTGTGACATACTGCCGAAGGGGTGCTGACCGGTGAGGATGTAGAACCCGAGGACCCCAAGCTGCCAGGCGTCAATGGCATACTGGTCCTCAAAGCACACGTTGCTAGGTGCGTCTCTAATTTGGGGAACCTCCAAATTGGTGGTTGCCCTGTCCCAAGCAAAGCCGACATGACCCAAGCGAAGCGTGCAACAACATGTATATGTGCAGGTATGTGTCAAATTACAGGGACCAACCCAAACGGCTTTCCTTCAAGCAAGGTGAAGAGGGTACCTTCAGAAAACACACATTTCTTGTAGCGTAGAAATAACATGGACATGGACATGCCACAACTCACGAGGTCATCAAGTGGCTGGCTGCATTTTAGCCTCACGTGCGAATCACACCATGGGTGGCACCGAGGTGCATGTGCAAACTTGCAAGCTTTGCTACAAACCAATCAGGTCTACCGCGAGAATGGTGGCATGCTTGCAGCAAATAAATCTTTAGCTTGTTTGGCCTTGCGGAAAGCATGCTTGTCTCACAGGCGAACAATACCCCCTTCCACAAGCTGTCTCTGCGAAGCTGTAGTCTACTCTGCAGATCAACTGAAGGAAGCTACAAGGGGATGCTGACATTACACGCAGGCCCCTACCAAGCGAAGAAATCCCCTACAATGAGCGCATCTCTCATCAAGAGGGAAAACACCCCTGATTAGAAAGGTCCTCCTGCTTGTTTGAGGGTATCCTTTTCAGGTTGGTTTTGACACTGACACAGGCCCACATTAAGCCGCATCTGGCCGCCCGAAACAGAAGCACCCGAGGCGCCAAAGATCGCTCCAGCTGCGATGGAGGATTGGTGGCACCTCGACCGAAGCCAGCGCCCCCAACCCCCGCGTGGCCACCTTAAGGACATCCTCAAAAGGGGATGTAAATGGCTTGTTTAAAGCTTGCAATGACTTCTGGACCAACACCTTTTGGTGATCCTGTGCTATCAATCTTATTACCTAAACTAATACTATGACACAATTCCGGTGATAAAGCATCACCATATTGACCCCACTGTGCAGCACAACACAAGATTGGAATACTTTGGTTTAGATAAATTATTGAATGAATATACTTTTGGGATTTGATAATGTTCACAGTATTGAACAGCTTGATGAAGGAATAACGCTGGATAAACAAATGGGTAAACAGAGTCAATACCACAGAGTCTGCTCTCATCACTCTGTGTGTTGCCGTCCAAGCAAATTTGTGCATAACTGTTCGACAAGCATTCACATGCAATCATCATGTGTTTACTCACTCTATTATTAGCTACATGCGGGAACCCTGCAAATGCTGCGAACTCTGTTTGGTTTCCCTTTCAAAACAAACCAACAGGTAACGACCCGATAAATACACGTCTCCAAATACACATCCCGAAAGTTTCCTAAAACGGTTGGTGCTCAAAAATGGTTGGTTCCCCAGAATAGTTGGCTCCCCCAAAATGCTGGGTTCCCTCCGAATGGTCTGTTCCCCCACAAAAGGTTGGTTTCCCCAAACAATCTTGGTTTGTGGTCCTCTTTCCCAAACGGAGACGTCACCCTACCAAATGCGAGTTTGTGCTTCTTTATTTCTCCAGGATGCCAATTCAACTTGGCTTAGCATTAGGCCAAAAGGACGACCCAAATGGCCCAAATCGCCAGCCCTCTCCCTCGCGCCTGGGCTGACAGCGCGGGCGATTTTATGGTGCACCTCCGCAGGGTACCACATGGCCCAGGCCTCGTCCTTCTGGCTCCACCCGCTCCTTTGGCACTTTGTGCCCCGATTCTTCTGCGATTTGCGGGGAAATGTTCACAAAAACGGCTGGAAGACGAGTGGATGGACTTTGCCCTCTTGTGCTAGGCCTTAAACCCACGCCTGCCATCGGTTTAGTGTTTCCACACTCAACAGGCCAATAAGCGTTCAGTCACTCCGGGCGCCGGATGGCGACGCCGCATAAACAGAGAGATAGCACTGATTGATAAATAGCAGTCTTTGTTCTATGGCATCAAACGCCAAACAAAAGAGTCACTCGTTTAAGGGGAAATTGGCCATGACTGGTTGGCACCAAAGAACGCCATCACCAACCATGAGACACCCATGCATGACTGGACTGGTAAATACTTCTCATTGTGTGTGTTCGGTGAAATGGCCACTGTACAGATTATCCAGCAGGAAGAGATGAACACCTTGCTATTTTGCCCTCCTTGTTGACGCCTTGATGTCGCCAAACAACACCTTTTGTTTTATGGTAAGCATCCTCAGATCGCTGCCACCTGGTTGCATCCAAGACGGACCAGATTCTTCTGCTACATGGTTATTTCCAAACATCAACCTCAATCTCAAGGTCCAAGCAGCATAACGTGTGTCCGCCTGGTGGCATGTAAACAGGGCACAGCCAAAACCACATCTTACATGCAAACACAATTTGCTGCTCAACCGAGCAATAATATCCTGACGTGTGCCTAAAAAAGTCTTAGGCTCAAAGCCAACTCAAAGCAATCGCCACCAGCTCGTACTGTAGCACTATTCCACCTGCTAGCGCGGAACCTGACTGACTGAGGAGCCTGGACAACGGACCTCTCTTGGAAAGGTCCACGCATAGATAACTTTCAAATAACTTTCAATAGTTAGGGTTCACGCTCAAAATTGTTAGTGGTCCCTGGGCACAAATCCCTGTTAATTTATGACGTCCACCAAAGGGTCCCAGCTCAACTTCATCTCCAAGTGTGAGGATAACTTGGTCGACAGCAGCTTCTGGAGGGCCACAGCTCCGCAGCCAAGTCTCTCATAGTACTTCATGAACTGGACCTTGCCTGAGCTTCGAAGCCGGTGAGCTGCGATGCACATAAGTTGACATCTGCGAAAAGGCAAACATAAGAAATCACCCAGAATATGAGCCTTCAACATAGTGGTGGTGTTCAGCCTCCCTGGTGATGTTGATAGAGTTAGCACAGATTGACAGAATCCAACGAGAAAAAAAAAGGGACTCCTGTACCCCCTGCTTCCTTAATATTAAAGCAGCAAGCCGACCAGGGAAAAAAGGTTAACAGAACCAAATACTAAACCAATACAGCAAGTTCTCCCGAAATCAGATCCACTCAGCGAAACCCTCCAGATCTGCTTATTAGGGGTCACCCAGTGATACTCAAAAGTTGCAAAGTTGGATTATGAGTCATATGAGCGCTTTTTCCCTCAAACCAAAGGGTTGCCTCGCTCCTCCCTTCATACGGTCATACTCAAAAATTGCATTCTGAGCGATCTTTCCCTTAATGAAAGTGTTGCTTTGCCCGACAGGGTTCCCTGCATTGCTCTGCCTATGCGGTTCCCGGCCTGGCCTGCCCCCCTCAAACAGCATTTTATGAATAAGTATTTTGTCAATAGGAGGTCAGCAAAGGGTTCCCTGCATTGCTCTGCCTATGCCTCCCTGCGTTTGATTAATAATGATTGTTTTAAAACACAAGCGCGCCATACCTTTAAACTTACCCAAAAGGTGCATTCTGAGCGCACATTTTGCAAAACAAGGGTTGCCGCTTAGCAAATTTGATGCCAATACCTAACAACGCAGTCTGAAACCCCTACGAATCAAACCCCAAGGCTTGTTTTGTTGGGGGGGGGAACGGTTTATTCTTCGGGCAAAGGAAACATGGACCCGGCGGGCTGGGGTTCCGGGCCGAGGAAGTCCCCAATCTGCAGTTCCCCGTTCTTGGGGTCAACCACCACGGTGGCAGGACCCAGGCAAAGGTGCCTCGCTTGCGCCGAGGAAGGACGCAAATCAGCCAGGAATGAAAAGAACCCCCTGCAAAGTAACATGGAACCTGTACAAACAACCAGGGCTTTCCCAAAACGAAGATTCATTGATCAACATCCAGCAACAACACTCGAAATGAGAGTGGTATCTGACAAAACAGCCAGCCGGGCCCTGTACACCGCCCTTATATTCAATATCTGCCCGACGTGGCCCAAACGTCTCTGATTGCAGTTCAGCTACGCGATGCTGAGGCCATGCAGAGATTTCAGGCTTTTGGTGATCCTGAGCACTGCAAAAACACGCGCACGCACACAAACACAAACACAACACAAAAACACACAAACACATACACAAGCACACACACACAAACACACACACACACACAAACACACACACAAACACACACACAAACACACACACACACACAAACACACACAAACACACACACACACAGAGAGACATACAGACAAAGAGACACGCACAGACACCCACCCACCCACCCACCCGCCCGCCCGCCCGCCCACCCACCGACACGCAAACACACACGCACACACGCACACACACGCACACACGCGCACACGTGCACACGCGCACGCACGCACGCACGCAAGCACGCACTCACGCACACACACACACACACACACAGACGTGGACCTGATTGGATGCTATCAACCAAAACCTTTCCGGAGAAAAGGCAGGTATCAACGTGTGATATTCTGTGGTATGCGGCTGTTTGCCGGCCAGCATGACACAAACTTGCCCGCATGCTCATTATCACGCAGCAGTGCCAGCAACATCTAAAGAAGTAGACCGGACGCTGTGCTAAACAAGTTCTCAGGACATTCAGATTCCACCCTACGGTACCACGGTTGTTGTTGTTGTTGTTGTTGTTGTTGCTGCTGCTGCTGCTGCTGCTGCTGTTGTTGTTGGCAACAGCCATAACACCGCAGACTGAATATTCCTACGAACAGCACGCCCGGCCTCACTCGCGATGATCATCATAAACTGAGATTGTTTCAGCTGACGCATCTGCATGACAAATGCAAGCATCAAAGGCTGTCATGCCTCGAACTCCCAAGCAGTCTTCCATTAGAAAGGCTGTGTCAACTCTGGTTGATTGCAAAATCCATACTCTTCACTCTTCGCTCTTTCACGACCGTAGATAACGCCTTCCTTCGTACCTTCGTACCTTCGTACCTTCGTACCTTCGTACCTTCGTACCTTCGTACCTTCGTACCTTCGTACCTTCGTACCTTCGTACCTTCCTTCCTTCGTACCTTCCTTCCTTCCTTCCTTCCTTCAATTTGGTCCTTCGGAAAGCCAACTTTGACTCTCTGGGGCACGGGCTGCTGCAACCAACTGGCCGCCAGGCTGATGGCGGCCCAATCCAGCAGCATGATGTGGCTCTGGAGGCCCCATTCACCTGCAGCTCCCCTCAAACAAAACTGTTCCAGGCGACCCTCTTTGGGCTTCTATTTTTGGGGATCCCGAAAATCGAGACGTGATCCGGATCATGGGTGACTTCCCTCCCTGTAAAAAACCAACTAGAAGGCTGCTCCCCAATTGACCCCTGAAATCAGAGACTGCTTTGGACGGTGATTGAAAAGGACGCGGAGTGCACCCCCTTGCACAATGCTTGCCTTCCAGTAGCCATTCGACCTTGCCATCCCTCACATTTTGCCGCCGTTCCTGGGGGTTCCATGTTCTCCTCCGGCTTCTGCTCTCGGCCACTAAGATGTTTGAATTCGGCCCATAGTAGTGAACGGCAAAATGCAAATTCACCACCAGTTTTGCTCCCCGGGTTCGTTTCGCCGGGTGTCCCAAGCTCTCCATAGCGTAGCCCAAGGACTGGTGCTCCGGCAAGGCCAACACTGTGGTGGCCTGGTTCCATGGAGCTGTGCCAAGAACAGAGCAGGAACAGAAAGGGCAAATTGGGGTGGGGTAGGGTGGGGAGAGGTGGGGGGTGGGGTGGGGTGGCGTGGCGAAGTGCGTGTTGGCAGTATTGGGGTGTCATGGGCTGGCGGTGAAGGAGGTCATGTTGGGGTTGTTGCCAGGGTATCAAAACGGTCACCACATTCAACTCCGGCCAAGAACCCCATTCTTTAAACAGACCATCTGTCAAACAGGATTTACCGATCAGGATGCACCGTCCCAGCCAAGCCCACGCAAAACATCATCCCCTCCGAAATGCAGCATGGAGGAGGCTGCAAGGCCGCAAGAAGTCTCTTGTAGCTCTGTTGGAATCTATGATTCTGACAGGCCCAACTCAACAGAGGCATAATTCAGATTTTTACCCATGGCTAGTCAACCTTAAAATGCAAATTCATGTCGAAAAAAAGGTCTGAGTTGAGCGGCCTATTCAGGTGGGCGCTGGACACCCCTGGTCTTCCCAGAAGAAACCGACAGGGTCGTGGGGTTACCAAGGGCCCGGGCCCCAGTGCTTCTGGCGCATGAGATAAATGTTACGTTTACACCTCCGCCTGAGCAGTACTCACAACCAGCTGGGATATAGTTGAGGATGGCAAGTTCCTCTGCAGGGGAGAAATATCAGGAGCTGAATGACTATACACATTATTACCTTATGTTCATGGTAAAGTTAGGCTTCAAAGTGCCCTGAGCACCTCAGGGGCCATGGGAAACAAGACCCTTCTGGTGGAAGGTGGTTTGAAAGGAAACTTCCCATTCCAAGTGTTCAGTCCTCTATGTGTCTGGGAGCCCACGCCACAGTGCGGCGCACCAGGACCGCGGAGGACCGGCCGTGCGTGATCCAGCGCCTCATTCCACCGGGAGGGGGGCGCGGTTCCACAGATGCGAGTTCGTAGGGGCAGGTCCAAATGGGGGTATGTGCCAATTGAGCAGCGCATTCGGGAAAAGAAGCTGCCAGAAAACGTGGCCCCTCTGCGTGAAGAGGCAGAACAAGGGAAAGCAGAATGAAGCAGAGAAATATACATGTAAAAACATAGAATAATAAATAAAATAAACGATGACATAAACAAAAGAGAAATTAAAATACAAAGAGGGAGAGGGAGAGAGAAAGAGAGATGGAGAGAGAGAGAGAGAGACAGACACGAAAAAGTGTGAATATATCGTCCTCAAAACTTTTGCTCTTGTATATTTCAACCTCCCCCCTCCCCCTCTGGCTTTGCCTGTACTGGCAACGGTGTACAATAAACCTCACTATAAACCCATGAAGCCAGGTAGGACCATGTAAAACAACCCAACGGGCGCTTTGTTGCGTGACCAAGACACTTCGTCTCCTTCACCACCTGGTTGGCCAACGTGCTGTCGCCCCGTGAGGTAGGCAGCAGCTTGGCCACACAGCGGGTGGGCCGTGCGGAAATCCAGCGGTCTGGGCAAGGGCCACCGACCAACCGACCCTGTTGGAAAATGAAGGAACAACAAAAGGGCAACATGTTGAAAGGTAAACTAAGTCTGGGAAAGTGAGGAGAGGGAGCGAGGAGAAGGGTCCAAGGGCCATTGTAAATTACACTGCGGGCACTGTATAAGAATGGTCAAGGGGTCTCTGAGCATCCCGAATCTCTCCTGCAATACTTCGCTGGGAACACACCGCTGGAATAAGGATTCGTCTGTCAGGTAAGAAACCCGAATCCCCGGTGCGGTCTCCAGAATTGCCCAGGAGGGTGACGAGACCTGCAAACAGCCAAGCAATCCACGTGACCTCTCACCTGGGGGCTGTTGATGTTCCCCAATTCCGGAATGCAAAACTCTCAGGAAGGGCTCTCTTTTTTTTGTGTGTGTGTGTGTTTCCACAGGTGTAGAGCTGCAATCATGAAAGTCATCCCACCTTGGCATCACTACCTTTGGTTTACTGTTGTAAATGTGTTGAGGTCTGCCAAACCAGTCCGATCGTGAAACAGCCACTGGTGGCGGAAACCGAGAGAGCATGGACCTACCAGGCAGTCGGCTTTGAAGCAATTCGGTCGCCCAGAGACATCGCCCGAGTGCCATCTAAATGCCTGGACTTGGTAATGACGGGAGTTTGCTGGAGGAATCCACCAGGGGTGCCACAAAGGGATGAATGGGGAAACCCCCGAAAAGGGTACCTCAGCGCTCGCTGTGCGGGTAAGACCCCTTTCGCACATTCCACCGAGCGGCCCAGGATTTGGGCAGGGCGCACCACGCCCCCCGCGATCTCTTGCCCGGGGCCCCGGAACTCCGAAACCACCTGCACGAGAACGGCCAGCCGTTTGGGCGTCTTACCGTATGCCAAACATGAAACTGAAGGCGTGGGACGACATGGGACGACAAAACCCCCTTTTGGGGTTGACCAACAAAACAGAATCAAAGAGCACGTAAAGGCACAAACAGCCGTGATGATCTGCTAGCAGCTAGCAAAAGACAAAAGTGCAAGCAAACAAAAGTGGAAGCAGCAGCAGCAGCAGCAGCAGCAGCAGCAGCAGCAGCAGCAGCAGCAGCAGTAACAGCTGCAGGAACAGCAGCAGCTGCAGGAACAGCAGCAGCAGCAGCAGCAAGTGAGAGTATTTTTGCAGGCAGCTTCGACGTGTCCTGACCATTGACAGCCACAGTCGGATGGCCGGATGGCGGTTTTTCTCAGTCCAGCCTCCGTCGGGGACACCTGGAAATCTTTCCTCAGGCTCAAATTGGAAACAGACCCTCGGGTGGGCATCGTTGCATTGGGATTTATGTCCACCAGCTATACGTTTGCGGGCTTTGCCGCCCATGAAAAAGCATGGCCATTGCTATCTGAAGTCTTCCTTCATGCCAACACCTGCACTATTGAAGCGAAACAAACACCTGACCCAGAGTAGCTTCTCTACTGTTTGTCCCTCTCGCCATCCGTCCACAAGCGGCTAAACAGCTCTGCTCAAAAGGTTCTACCCATTCCCCTGGATGAAGCCGACTCCACTTGTCCTCGCAAACATGCGACGCGAGCCGTGAGCGCATGACTGGTAAGCCGTTTGCAGCCTGTCGCATCGCTGATTATCAGAAACCAATCAATGATGACTGCCCTCTTTCAGATCGCTAGCCGCTCACAGAACACATCTCACATGTCGAGTATCGGACAGCGGACAGGTGCTTCCTAGACGAGAATAAAATCTCAAATCTCAAAACAACCAGTTCCTCATCAAGCAGTCATGCCTTGCGTCCCTAACCCAGTCGCAACTAACAAGCAATGTCAACTACTGTGTGGCGTGACAGTGCGTATGTACATTCCGGCAAGTCTTGCCCCATGTGCTCGTAAGGGGCAGTGCAGCTGCACGATTGAAACTCCCCAAGCAGGCGTCGGCATACACGGGGCTCCCCCAGCATGCTACGTGCAATGATTGCTCACCCCGAAACTGATTGACACAGTCGGGGGGTCCCGAACAATGCAAGCCTGAAGTCTGCTATTCCCTGAAGGCTACTGTCCTTCTTGCACGTTCTCTCAACGTCTGTTCAACAAGTTTCCCATTCGCACGCAAGGCAGTCCATGTGCCATCGTTTTTGTTGGGCCCAGGATGGCATAGCTCCAACAAACCCTTTCACTTGAAAGACCATACACCTTTCCTCTAAGATAATGAAAAAGGACCACCTTAACGAACATGTTGTATGCAGCTTGATGGAACAGATTTTGTTGCTTCCGAAAAAAACAACACCCCATGGGCCCGGCCCCCTGCCCGCCCAATTCCGTGCCGAGGGACTGGTCACCGACGAACCACCAGCCAGTGCCCTCGGACTCGAGTCGAGTCTCCCCGGGCTGCGGGCATGGTGTCACCTGAGGCATTGAGAAAATGAGCTACCTCACAGGTGTCACAGCGAGCATTTTGTTTCTGTGTGTTTTTGCGAGGGTACCCTTTCAGGGCACAAAACGATCTGAAAAGGTTCTCAATACTCACTTTGGGAGTGGCTTCTATTTCTTTAGAGGGTAATTTGGAGGACGTCACTTTCGTGGAGGGAAAAGGGGCTGCCCTGACTCCATTTGTTTAGTCTCAAAGGGAAAATCAAAGTAGACATGAAATTCGCGGGGTTACGCCCTCCAACAATTCCAAGGGCGTGAGGAGATTAAGAACAAACTCATTCATTCCCGGGCTAGCAGTGCATGTTAGTTACATTGCTAGTTAGCAAGTCAGCTCGTTAACTGGCTGGCCAGCAAGTCAGCAAGTCAGCAAGTCAGCTAGCTGCTCAGTCAGATAGCTAGCTATCTATTCAGCTAGTAAACAAATTAGCTAATAAGCCATCACAAGCGCTTAGTAGTTAGCTAGGCTGCTGGTTGGTCATCTAGGTAATTAGCCAGTTAGCTAGTACATACAGCAAGCCAAATGGATCGCCAACTAGCCAGCTGCCATTCCCTCCGCTTTCGCCTCGGTGGTCTCCGCCGGCTTTCTCAGCTCCTCCTCCGAGTGAGCGAAGGGGCAGTAGAAGCTTCGGCAGGAGCTCGTGCTGCAGAGCCGCGTCCTCAGCGGCTGAAGGATTTTTGTTTGGCTCCATATGGGAGCTCGATGTGGTGGACCCCTTTGGTTGCTTAAACAAAAGGGTCCCCATATTGAGAAACACCCACATGCGCTTAGAGTGCATGAGATTGTGCCAGGAATGCCAGGCAAGGAAAGATCTCAATCAGGTAAGCCCAAGGGGAGTGTCCTCAGCAGCCTCTCGGAATTTGCTTGGAACCCTCCAGGAAACTGCACCTCAAACCCATTACTTCGGATATCCAAATGGCCCACGCAAAGGGGCATCCCGAAGGGGCATGCACTCAAATTTGCACTTGCTTGCAGGTGGGAATGTGATCGTAAGCGTGCTTGTTTTCCGGTGGCCATGCAGAGGAGTATAGGATGGCCTATCCAGTACTGAGTGAACTTGGAAAATCTTGGGCAACTGCCCAACAGCTCACCTTGACCGGCAAAGACCGCATCCACTCGCTTTGAAACAAATAACTTCCTACTCAAGACATGCAATGGAGCACTTCTCCAGGTGTGATCGGAAAAAAAGGAGCATGTCCTGCTCGCTTCGTGTACAACTACTACGGGCTCAATGTACATTCATGCCTTCCGTCAGATCACGCTTGGCCTGGAATCCATAGTGGGCCTTGCAACCTTTGAGCTCGTCGAAACACATCCGTTGTATCAATTGCTGTCCCGTTGTTTATGTTGCCTTCAGGGTAAATTAGGTACATTGACACAGGCGAGCGTGCAAGAACATTTATACGAAGCATACCTGTTGAATGCCCTTCTGATTTGTAGATCCTATTAAGTATTGTGTTGGAGTTACTGTGAGCGCTGTCCCAAAATCCCCACATCGTGTTGCAAGCAACAGGATCTCCAAATAAGGCGCAAATAAAAGGAACCGTTAAAAAAAAAAAAAAAAAAAACAAGAGAAAAAAAGGTGTCCACTCGGTGTCCATTTTCATAAAATGGTGCCTCCAAAAGGGACCCACACACACCCCGCAGTTTGTGACGACGCCAAGGCACTTGTAAATGTTGGGATGGTACAGCTGCTCCTGGCAAGAACAATCCGTAGGTCGCTTGAGATGCCAGGTCGATGCCAGCTGATGAGTAAGTAGCTCCAGAAGTGCACAGAATAAAAATGGACTTGTTACATGCTCGCTTGGAGAAATTGCTTAGTAGCTGATCCTCAGGCCAGGCTCGCCTCGTTAAATACACCCACGGTGTGGTGGATGGTTGAAGAACTCGCTCTCAACTTTCCTCTCAACTCCCCCCAACCCAAACCGCCTCATAGATAGAAAGGTCAAAAGATACACATGGTTGATTTCCTGTTGGTTTCCCCCACTAGGTGATAGCTTGGGAACCTCTTTTGGGATCGGTGTTAAGAAAAGCCAAAGGCGACCCAGCGAATTTGAGGCTCCCTCATTTGGAACAACTCCCTACTAAAGTTGAAATCTATCAGCCCTTCAAACCAAAGGGAAAACTGGTTCCCCATGGTTCCCCCTTTGGAAGAACCGATATCACACTATCCATCCGACTAAAGGGGTCGTGACTCGCCGCGCGCCTCCTGAGTGTGCGCCATGTGGCAATCCAGCCCTCTGGGGCAATGGACGCCGTTGGGGCAAAGCTCCGGGGAGTAGCTGTACTTCCGAGGATTTCCTCCGGCGAGCGGAGCTTTGAAAGGCCGGTTTTCGCGGCGCGATGTCCTCCATGAAATTAAGGGGGCTTTGGATGTCCTTGGAGGGGAGGTGGTTCGGCCAAGGTAATTGGAGGAACACAAAAGGCAGTGAGTTTGGTCTCGACTTGCTTGCTCTCGACTTTGAGGTTTGGAGGACCGCTGAAGCTGGAGCTTTGCCATGTCCACACCAGAGACCCGCAAGAAGGTTCAACCTTCAAGAGGGTCCTCGGGCTTCCCCGAAGAAAAGCCTCCCAGCATTCCTGTGATGGTGACGCGAGACAAGGCATTTACATGGCAGGGAAAAAGCGGTTGATACTGGCCGCGCAACCCTGTCAACCATCGGTGACGAATACAACGCCACTCTCTTGTAATACCAACTGTTCAGCATCAACACAACACATGTGGATCAATCATGCCTGCCAGATTTGATCGCATCCCCAAAGCATGCCCACAACTGACTGAGCTCTAAAGGGGCCTGTACATCGTTGTACTCGAAAGTTCCCACAAATAATACATCCTCAGATGCGTCGATAGCTGGAATGACATACATTTCCTGAGTTGAATCAACTTCTTGGTCACTTCTTGGTCGTGCCCTTCCTGCCACTTGTCCGGCTGTGATTGCACCATGCAGCTTCACGGTAGGTGGTGTGTTATGGGGGCAAGGTGGGGCTGCGTGCCAAGTATTGCCAGTTGGTATACGAATTATCCCTGCATTCATAGGGTTTCCCAACTGTTGCAGGACTTGTCCCATCCACGACTAGGGAGTTCTTTGGGTGCTAGATGGTGCTAGTTGTGCAGCTGGGGATTCAATGCGTGCCATTGGTGCTGAGGCTTGATCAGCGAGTTGAATAGGCTTCATTGGTTTGAAGCTGGTGGCAAGGCTTCTTTGGCATGTCGATGTCGAAGCCAAGTTGGATCTGGGTTTACTCAGTGTATGTTTAGCAGCTTTGGGGACCAGCTCCACTTCCTTGATGCCCTGGTTGCAACATATGGGTATGTGTTTTTTTGACGTGGCCGTGCCGGGAGGTTGGTATAAGGGGTATGAATCGCAGGTATGGTTCGGGGTATGGCTCGGGGGTATGATTCGGGGTATGGCTCGCGCGCCTCTGAACTCTTGCTTTGTGGCTTTGGACACTGCAAAGCTCCCGTGCGCTGGCAACTGGATAGCCGTGAGAATTTGGACCGCTTAGTTGCTACAAGCCAGCCTGGGGCGCTTGTGGGTGGCCTGAACTAGACAGCTGCCACTCTGGGTTAGCGAAAGCAGCTGCGCTAGGTGGAAGGCGCAGAGCCACTGCCTGAGGCGAACGTCATGGCCACCTCCACTTGGAGTTCAAGCGACCCGCGTGCTCACAGACCCAAGCAAGCGTTGCTTAAGGGGAAGCGCCGCTGCCCAGTCAGGCCCGCCACCCGCACCAGTCACGAACCAGCGTAAGGGCAAGACAGCGTGACATCCTCAAATTGGAGCCGCGCAGAGGCTAGTGGGCCTCTCACAGGTGGTGTACCGTGTCGCGCTTGATACATCGCAGTAAGCCTTCCGAACCCACCTTCTGGCGAACTTCTGCGAAAAGAGCCGCGAGCTGGTTCCTGCAGCGCTTCTCTTTGAGTTTTGAGTCTTCTGAGGATTTGGGCGGCATAGCTTCGCTAGTACTGCCCAGAGCGCAAGAGGCTCTTGGCTGCAAATGGCAGCAGAAGGGTATGAATCGGGGTATGAATCGGGTATGAATCGGGGGTATGAATCGGGGGACAGATTTTTTTCGACCGGAAAGACCAAGAGTACCCCAGGAGCGCAAAGACAGCTTGTGTCAGTGGCCCAGGACAGACGGCTGTTTCCACCGCGTCGGACAGACTGCAGGAAGCAAGCTCCAAGTTTCAAGCTCAGCAGCGGCACCCCCCGCCAAAGCGCCCTGCAAGTCCCAGCGTCTTACGTCAAGCTGCACCCCCCCGCCACAGCCACAGCACCACGGATGCTACAGACAACTCTAGTACCAGGACATCCGCAGGATTGCTCTATAACTGCATCCATTGGCACCGAGTGTCAAGAGGAACACCACTTGAGCCAAAATGGCCCCCCACGAGTGTCCAGTGAGTGTGTGAGTGGACATGTCAACTGTACTTGGCCCCATGACAGCAGACCCAACCATGCAAGCATCGCAGACTCAAGGATAGATCCAGGAACCACAAGTGAACCAGGTATTACCTCGGAGTCCCTACCAACACTGTTTCTTGACAAGACCCCCTTCTTCACTTGAAGTTAAGCCCCCTATAGCTTCCAGCTATCCATGGATCACATGCAAATGCCACAGTTCTTGCAAGTTTTTTTTTGTGTTTTTTAAGGGGTATGACTCGGGGTATGGCTCGCGGGTATGGCTCGGGGTATGATTCGGGGGTATGGCTCGCCCAAGCCCCACCTCCCACGAAGACTAAAGAACTGACACGGTAAAAAAACACAGACCCATATGTGCTCAACACGCTTGAGGTGAACAAAGCAGAGTTGAGTTGAAGATGGAATAGCTTGGCAAGTCCGAGGTAAAAACCAAGGAAAGAAAACAACAGGCCAAGCACAAGGACAGGAAAAGTGAAGATCCCGAAATGGCTGGTTTGTGTTCTGGTTTCCCTTCGCAACCAAACAAGGGGCTCCCGAATTGCGGAAAAAAAAGGAAAAACAACGCAGGCCAGGACAAGGCACTTGTCGGTGTTCCATGTCCGCACCCTGGCGCAAGTATCCCAAGCCAAGTTGCGGCGAGGTTGCTCAGCATGCGAGTACTGGCCTCAAACAAGCACAACAAAAGCGGAACACGCACTCACGTAGCATCCAAAAAAGAAAAGGTCAACACACCTTATGCGGCGTTGTTGCTAACCATGTTTTTTTTTTCTTCGCAGAACTAGCTAATTGGTACAGTACCCTGCTGCAAGCGACTGCCTCAACCTTTGCCGCTTTTGCACTGCTGGCACGGTACTCGCCCTACATCCACACAACTGAATTGACTGAACATGTTTGTACCAACAAAGAGGAACACGCGATCTATGACACCCACAGAAGGACTATGACAACCTCTCATGACCAACTACCCTCCACAGATCAAATGCTTGGCACAGTCCACTTTCAGATCAGGCGAGCAGTGATCGAAACCTATTGAGTCCTCAATTGACCGACACAGCTTACAAATCTATGCAGTTGTATGGGGATTTATGTCATCACTCATGTGTTGGGGTATTTCGACCATTCAATCGCATAGCGCCAACGTTATAGCTATAGAGGAGGTTCTAATTTCTGCATTGCCCCCATCCTTCTTTTTGACAAGAACTCTACTGTCTGCGATTCTGGTGATTTTCTGAAGGAAAGGCCACCCCACTGGGCGCTAGATGGGGGTTGTCAAAAATACAGCCCTTGGTGGGACCTTGAAGCCGCCCAAGGTGCCGTTCTTTTACAGGGGATAATTACTGGCAACTTCCCCAATAGATAGATGGATCCAAGAAGGCAACAATTAGCCCTGTCGGTTTTATCACCCCCTTACTTACCCACATCTACCGGGAATTGTGCCATCCATCTATTTTCAACTGTACGATAATCCCTGGAAAGATGGGGAGCTACCCGTAGAACTTTATGTAAATTCATAGGCCGCCACTTGCCATCCACAAGCTGCAAGCAGTAGATTGGTCCCCTCTCATTTCTTCCTGGTGTAACTACCCTCGTTCTTCTCCGAAACCATCCCCCCCCCTCCCCCGGTTTCCGTCCATTTTCCGGAAACGAGGTCTGTGGTGCCCATTAGTCTGTGGCCGGCCCGGCAGCTTTTGCTTCTTTCAATCCTCCGAGGCGCAGCGCTCCCCGAAGGAGCACTCGCCCTTGGCCACCAGCCGCTCGCAGGGCTTGGTGCGGAAGCGCGGCAGGTTCTTCTCCGAGAGCAGCGAGGCCAAGGCCATGCCTCGATCGCCATGGAGCGGAGGGCGAAACTCTTTTTGTTCGGCGAATCCGAACTGGTCTTACCAACGAGCATCAAGCGCAGGAAGTTAGGGAGTGAGCTGGTCTGTGGATCCAGAGCCTTTCGGAAACTCAAGGAAACGTACCACAGGATGTTCATTTGAAAACAAGACATCTGGATCATTGTGGGTTCCTTGTGTGGAAGGGGACCTCTCGATGTGGTTGGAGCATTCAGATGCTGCTTGCACCGTCTACCATAGGCAGCTACGCCGAATCGATTCCATCTAAGTGGGTGCCTGCGAAAATGGAAGATCCCTTTGAAGTCTTTCAGGCACTGGCGATGGCTTCTAGAGCTGCAATATGTATCTCAGAAGGTGCAACCACGGCACGTCGTGCGTGCGTCAGCCCTTGAAACCGCAACATGACCTTTTCAAAACCAACAGGCTTTAGCCAACACTGGGCAGCTGCAAAAGTGGACCACTGCAAAAGCAAATAGGCACAGCATGCGCAACATTATATTTGGACTGTTGGCCGAACCGGTTGGGCGTCGAGCATGCCTTTCCCTCTGTTTGTTCAACTGCGTTTTCAGGTGTGGAGGTTTGGAAGGTTCTGTACCCCTTCACATAAAAATGATGTTTTGGGAAGGGCAGCATAGACCCATTAGAAAGGTTCATATCACCTCCATACCTCGAACACTCACCTTAAGGTGATGCTGTGCCACCATCCGGTTGGCCACAAATCTGGGTATGTTTCCAGCCAACATGAATAGGAATTTGTCCCGAACTGGCTTTCCGCAATCGTTCCCCTCCTCCTTTCTGAAAAATTGCCTGTTGATGCAAGGAAGGATGGTTGCAACAATCTAGGCGGATCTTACGAAGACTAACAAACTTGAAATAAGGAATCCCATGTAAAGGACTTTCAGGATTTGCACAGAAAAAAAACTGAAAATAATCGGGATTCAACTCCCAGAACAAAATGGGTTCCCAATACTTCCATGGTAAACATCACTGGGGTGCGACTGAGGCAGCGGCTGGCTCTGTAGGTGGATGCTGTGATTGTGTGTCGCAGACGGATCTGCAAGTCGCCTCTTCCACTTCTACGAGATCTCTCCGAGCTGAAACTCCAAATGTCAAGCCCTGAGTTGCTCGCCATCGGGTCAATTTGGATTAGAACTTCTCCGATGTTTTTGGAGACACATAGGAAAGCTCAGAGAGTCCCAAGGTGGAAGAAGCTATTCCACGAATTCCTATTCCTCGCGAGGCCTTCGTCCAAATTGAAGGCGCTTGAGCCGCGAACACCGTCATCAAGGCATCAGCGAGAAAGCACTGGTGAACATGGCACCAATCAAAGGAATTGCCCAGCTATGGCTATACTCAAAGACATGTCGACACACTAAGCAGGGCAATGCACGACTCCCGTGATACGGTTTGCTTCCATTCCGTGCGATTTGAACACACTTACCAGCACATCTGTCAGTGCGTTCACTTGTCAAGGCTCCTTATCAAACAATGCAAACAAACATTACAGAGCCAGCTGATGCAAACCTCCCGGTAAGAGTGCCAGGCATTGTCCTCAACTGAGTGCTAAGCACGGATCTGGAGCAATCCAACAACCATCCATGCCCTTTTGGCTTGCTTGAGAAGAAACAACAATAGAGGGGCAATTTAGCACACAAAGAACATCATGAGCATTGACATGCCGCAGCTCCCCTTTTCGCAATCGACGGCCGGTTGAAGAGCCTGCATTCAGAACCTCACGGCGTTGCACGGAGGCATCTCCCTCGCCTGCGCCTCAGTGCCTGGGAAAACCTCAAGCACAGATTCGGTTTCGACGCAAAACAGGGGGACCCTAAAATGGATGCACTGTCTGGCTTCCCCTTAAGCCAACCAGAAGATGTAATTACGCTCCAAAAAAGCACAAACAAACACAAACACTTGGGCTGCCCTGCCTCCACGTGTCGCTTGATTGACAACTCAAAACATGTCAGCAAAAATATGTGTGATGTATGCGCTTCGGTGGCAAAGCTTCCAAACACGATGGCATTAGTTTGGCGGGGCGCATTGAATGCCACCCTGTAAACATCACATGCAACATCCTTTCCCAAATGGGTGTGTCCGAAAGCGGCAAGAGTAGTTGCCAAGAAAAGAAGCATTGACATGAGCAATGCCAGACTTAGTTGTGGCTTTTCTCCTTTTGGGGTTCCTTAATTTTCAATTTCAAGCGAAGGTGGCCGCATATTTGGCCCGTTGGCCTTTTTTGGTTGCTGCTCCATTTGTTATTGTCAGGACAAGGGGGTCACCATGTTGTCAACTCCTGACATGGGAATCTAAGATGATCTTCCCTAGCCCCACACCACTTCCCCATGGATTTGATGGAATAGCCGCTCTATACACGATAAATACTCATTTCCCCCTGGGGTAGCAGGGTGGGGGTAGTTGAAGCCATCTTAGAGGGAACGTGTCAAAACCATGAATAGCCCCTCCAAGTGTTGGTTTCCTTGTGAACTCATGATCGGTTGCAATGAACCAAACAAGGTTGACCAAAGCCCCAAAGTCCAAAACAGTCCCGGGAGGTTGCTCGATCGCAGGCCACAGACTAACAGCGTTCCATGTAAGTCCCCCCTCAAACATCACCCCGCGCAAAAGTGGCGTTTCGGCCTATCTCAGCTTTGGCCCAGATTAGCAAACATGTTTCGATTCCGGCACACGACTAGTGAACCTTGGGCTATGGGCAATGAAAACTTGGTTGCTGTTGACCCCCCTGCAAAAAGTTTAACTAGTGGAAAACCCCTTGATTGATTCCTCAAACAGTTCAAGTCTAAAGATCCAACCCAATAGCAGCCAAGAAAAGGGTGACAAAGGGGGGGCTCACGTCATGCTGAGGCGTCGGCCAGATCCTCACCCGGTACTCCGCGCTCTGGCGCGGCTCCGCGCTAGCGGGGCAGGTGGGGTCCTGCGAATCACCCCCCGATATGTCTTTAGAATAAGAGGTTTTGCATATGTAGAAGGGTAGACCCTACTGGGGGGGTTACATATGTATAATATATATATATATACTCTAAGAATGTGTATACGTATGTATATATATATATATATACAGGTGCATACCTCTTGAAGGGAAAAGCATCAGCAAGTTGAGTTTGAGGATTATGCTTTGCTGGTGGTTTGGAATCCAATATAATGCTCACGCATTTCCACCCGATGATCCGACCAACACGGATGATACATATTAAACAAGCAACAACATAGCTGCTCTTTGCCTTGACCACTTCGGCAGCAACGGCAACACCAGGTGGAGCAAAGCTAGCTGACCCAAGAATGGGTTCTATTACATGGGTTCTGCGCATGATTGCCTTGAAGCTGGAACCCGCTGTTGGAACCGTTCAGGGTCCCTGACAAACAGCAAGGTCAGGCCGGCTGCACGGCATGTCCTCGAATGCTGTGTGGAAGCAAGTGTGGAGCTCGGGGCCCTGTTGGCCTCAATGCCGGGTGTAAATTGTTTTGCGCTCGCGTGAACACAAAGCACATGCCGATCAAAGGTTGGCATTGCATGTAGTCAGATGCCTCCAAAATGAGCAATTCCTCTGCTCACATTGAGGGGGAACCACCTTTGGTAAACAAGTGGATTACACAGTGTGGATTCTGGCTGGGTTTGGGTTTGGTTCAGGGGGTTTTAGCTTGGTTCAAGAACCTACGAGTCGATGAGACCGAAAGAACAGAGAACCCACGGACAAGAGAGCCAAGGAACCACGCGAACCAAGGAGCAATACTGTGGACACCTGGCCAAGAGGGACTGTTGTGAATTCACCACCAGTATTCGTAGGGCGTAGGGTTTCTTGCATTTAAACTGGCGCAGGATTTCGCCCATCCGCGACATGATTGCCGTCCTGATCATGATGCGCGATTCATCCCGACACTCGCTTACCTCGGACATGCGATAGCGAAACATTCATCAACAAGAGCCCGGCATATGGGTAGGATGACGACGTCTTGAGCACGAAAGAACCATCAAGCGAATTCATTTCCGAGTTTGAATTAGACATGAAAGAACAGCAGTCAAAGTCAGCGCAGAGCTGCAAATAACACCATGTACGTTCAAACACGCCACCCTTGACAACCATCAGAACCACAAGACAATACGCCGCTCTCAAAAAAGTCCGTTGGGACCTCTGGCCCTAATGCGTAACTCTTAGGAGGGCACGACTACAAGTAAAACACCTTTTGGCACAAGAGAACCTACCATCTGGCAGAAGTAGCGCGCCAAAGAAAAAAGTAGATTGTGCAACTCCCTTTTTGTTGGTAAGCAAGCGGCTTCAAATCCAAATGAATCGCCAAAGAATTGCGCCACATATTTTCACCCAAGGATTGAGTTTGAACAACGCCTTTTGTCCGAGGGGCTCTTGAAGTACTGGAAAGACTTGAAGACCAGGACCTCGTCCGTGGTCATGTCCTCCGAAGCGACATCCGAACGTGGCACGATCTGTTTGGGGGTTGTCGCAATACACGTTATTTGTTTGAGGGTGCCCTTTTCAGGGTTGTTTTGGAGGAAACCCAAAGACAAATCACTGTTCTACAGCTCTCATGTGAGGCAGACGGCAAACCCTCGCACTGGCTAGCCAAAGGGATGTGCATCCAGTTCCACAGCACACCTTTATATAGTGTGCTCGGCTTGTGGCACGTAGAGGCCAGGACTAGTAAAAAATCAGGCAGCTAACTGCCGTCCGCCATTCGGCTTGGATGTGTTGAACCGACAAAACGGATGGGCTTCATGCTGCATGCTCGTAATTTCAATATGAATCAGAAGGCACCGTCCCCCAAAAAGACACATGTTGGCATAGAAAATCCAGCCACAGCATTGCGAATAGCCTGTGTCCTGCACACATTTGGGTTGCAGGCGCCGGCTGCGCAACAGTCGAACTTGCCGCATGTTGGCTACCAAGCAAGCTAACTTTCTCGCATTCATTGCGATTCTTTTGACGCCGCTACAAAGTCAGCCTAATACGTGGTTGACACATTCATATGTAGCGGCCGACCACAACTCTGTTCCTGTATTTCTCAGTTTTAGGAGCTATTTCTTTTGTTGAGCATCCTAACCTTGCTCCTCCCGCCCCTCAGGCCCACAAGTTTCCCAAACATCCGTGCAACTTTAACACGCCCCGCTCGCTCGCCAGGCCGACGAGTTGCCACCACATCCGTCCTACTTACAAAACTGCACCCCGGGCCCCCACACCCCTAAAGCGGCACGATCACCCAGAAGTTTCCAAACAATCCGTACCCTCCCGCCAAGGGACAAGTCACTTACGTTTGGCCCATGAGTCCAAGTTTCGGATCATCCAAGTTAGCGTTCCAAAAGGAATATCATGTTGCTTGGTTCCTGCTTAGCCCTCTGAAAGGATGTGAAATATGTCCTAAGTCTACCGACCTCCCATGAAGACTGCTAAACATCGACATTTTCACAGCGGTCCGGATAGTAGTACCAGCGCTGCTCATCATCGTGCGCCAGCGCCAGCATCTTGACATAGCCCAGCTCGTCCCAGCGGATGTTGATGGGCACTGTGTCCTTCCAGTCTGCTGAGCCCAGGAATTCCAGTCACCAAATTCAGTAGGTAACCAGCCATGTTCCTTTTAAGTTTCAAAGGGCAGGTCCCTTGGTTGCCTTTCGTTACCTTCTAAAATTCAAAAATGGAAACAGCGGGGAGTCCGGTGAAGTTACAAAAGGGGCGCTTGCAATCCAACTGCTCAAAAGGGCACACAAGCACCTTTGCAGGCCGCTTGAGAAGCACGATTTGTTTCTTTTTAGGCGGGGCTGCACAATGCCCCAACCTGATCCCAAGGAGTCTAGCTTCAAAAGTATCCCAAAAGCTCATGTAACTGGTGTCATTGAAGCGACATCCTCAAACATGCCCTCTTGTGGTTTGTTCAAAGGTAAGCAGCCCCCTATGTACTTTGGAGAAACAACACCCGCTGTCCCCCGACGGCTCAGGGACACCTCCATCTTGACGGTGGCGGGGTCGCACACCGCTAGGGGCGCCTTCTTCACCTGGGTTGCGCCGGAAGGGCGTGTCCAAACCCAGTCTGGTGACCCGAAAGGTAGTGCAGGAACGGGAACCGGTTCCTTTTGAGAGTGGGACGCCTGGTTTTACATGCTGCATTTTAGCCGTTTGTTCATCTCAAGCCGCCGAAACGAACGATGTAGATGCATAGCTTTGCACACTGTAGTTTCAAAGAGGGAAAACCAATAAACACAAACGGGAAACATTTATATCACCAGACTGCATAGGAATCAAACGAACACCAGCCATTTCCAGAGGTCCATCGCTTGTGTCCTTTTGTCAGCATGGATGGCACTGGTAAATGCGGCCCAACATAACACTGAAACCCATGTGTTCCATCTATGTTTGACGAAACTAAGCTTGAAAGAGACTCAATGATCTTCGCAGGGGGTTTAGAGCCAATCTTGGCGTATTGTTGGAGTTGCTTAGTTTACCCGACTTTATAGGACTTCCTCTACCAGGGACGTACGACTTTGGTGTTTGTCGGGTGCTTGGGGAACTGAGGTCATGTTGTTGCCTCCGTGGTGCTTGAAACAATCTCAACAATTTGTCGTCAAATAGGGGACCCCCACAACAATTGTTTCGTTTCCTTTTGGTCCCCTCACTTCGAGAGGAAACACTGGCATGTGTCAGCCTTTGAGAACAAACATGTGTATGTCTCCAAATATTCAGTCGACTGCTAGTAGCAACAATTGTGACCGCAAGCCTTTCTGCCACTTGACAGAAATACCACAAAGAACCAGCCATTTGTTGGCCCTCAGCCTCTCATTGTGTCTCACGTTTGGTGTTGCGTCTCCATGCGTTTCATATGTTGGAGTTGTTTTGATTGCAAGGGCTTCCTCTCCCGGTTTGTCCCTTGCCTGACCAACCCCTCTGCTTTTTCGCCCCGAGGCGCCGGGTGCTTCATGGGCGCCACGGGGCGCCAAAAGTTGACGGCCATGAAGCCTGCGGCGGACAAAACCAAAAAACAAGCGGCCCGACGTAGACACAAAACCTGGAACATTCAAGTAGAACTGACCACGCATGTTACTAGAGGTGAGCTGCACCACTAACCCGATGGATCTGTACCCGAGTGGGTGACCAACCAGTCGTGTTCCCTTGGCACAAGGGGACTCACCTTGTGGGTAATTGTGTTGATGTGTTCGCCGCTTTGTTGCGTTTGTGTTGGTGGAGGTGGTTGTCTTTGTTGTGCGTTTCTTGGGTATGTTGATGTATTCTCTGTTGTGTGTTGCTTTTGGGGCCTGGGGGCAAGTTGTGGTGCTTTGATGTATCTGGGTCGTAAACTTGAAGAACTGCCAGCGAACTCCACAAAATATGTTTTGCGGAGGCGGTTGTGGATACAGCGAAGCCAACAACCATTGCTTGGCTCTCCTATGTCTAACAAAATCTAGTCAAACAGTTTGTTCAACCGATCTCTTGCCGCGGACGACTTAGAGGCTTTGTTAAATCCTGCGGACATCGACGAGTGTGTTTTGCTTTCCTTTGCATCTTCCTCTGAATCCACCCATAAGCAACCAACGCCTCTTCTCCCACCCACTCGCAAAGCACACGGACTTGTTTCAAAACAAGAGCACCCACCAACAAAAACTGAAAGACATTTTGTGTTGCTTCCCTGTATATAAGTTAAACAACAATCCACTGATGGTTCTTCTTTTGGTTTCCCTTTCAACCAACCCCTAACAGCTGCGAGAAGCCTCTCAAAAAGTCATGCCGCCCAGACCCAACCATCTCGTCTTGCGGAAGCTTGGGGCTCTCTGATGTCGCTCGCGCCTTTCACGGCGGGCTCCTGGAACCGGGCTTTGAAGCCGTGATCCGCCAGAGGCCAGTCCTCCGCGGTGAACCCGTAGTCCTATCGGGGAACCCCTTAAAGCGACCGCCTGGTAATTTCGGGAGTCCACCCCTTTTTGGTAGGGGAAGCCTCAAGACCCACGCTTTCCGGGGGTGTGACTGGGTCCGTTAAAGTGGGCCCACATTTGGAGGGGTGTGCAAAATTACTGTTGCGGTTGGGAAGGCCTCTAAACCACTAGAGAAAGACGGTGAATTTGAGAATGTCACTTTGATGGGAGCCAAACCAACTGCTTGAAAATTGTGGGGTTACGCCCCTCCATATTGCCCAGGTGTCCGAAAACAAATATGGCAGTGGCAAATGATCAAAACCACACTGAAACCAATGGAATCCATCTATTTTCACCCAAACTGACCGGAACAAGACGCCTGTATTGCTTTTTTTGTTGCCCCTTGCATATGCATGCGGAAGCGTATGGATTCGGTATGCCATGTATGCCATGTATGCCCCGACTTTCATACGCTGCTTAGGGGCTTTGGCGCAGAAGGGTGCCGTAGCTTAATGCGTCTCACGCTGGGAAGGGGGGGTCGGCGAATGTGCAAAGGAAATGGGAAGTGGTCCTGGCAAGTATTGTATGCCTGAGTGCTACCCCGATGGTTGGATGACATGAGCAAACATATCTCACAGCTCAACTCACACTACACCAACAAAAAACGGGAAAAGGACTTTGGATGTACCGCAACCAGCAGTGGCAGCGTCAATCACTGCCACGATAACAACGACAATGCAAGCTGCTATTGAACAAGCATGCAACAAATGAGTATGCTTGGGTGTCATCATGCGAGCCAAGCTCCCCATGCAAAGCGTACCGCATGCAACAAGCCAGAACCCAGTAGCCAGGGGAGGCGGGGGGCGCCCTTTTACAGGCAGTTGGTTGAGAAGAAAAAGACACTCAAAAATTGGTCAACAACACAGACGAGTCCTGGTGCACTGCGAAGGAATACGTCGGGTTCTTGGTGCCCGGACCACGACGAGCACAAAGCGGATCCTACAATGCGTGGGAATGCGGCAACACAGCAAAAGACAGTCAGCAAAAAAGACTTCCGATGGTTTGCAGGAAATACATTTCCACCCCGCAATGCGAAATAACACGAAAGAAAGTCAACTTAAGACGATCCAACAAGCGGTGGCAGCAAACATTAATAGATCACGGACGCCAACAGTCTTGGGGGTGCCCTACGTCCACTTTCCGCTTCTGCGCGGGTGTGTGTGTGTGTGTGTGTCAACATCCAAGGCCCAACAAGGGGTACTCTTCCTTTTGCTTTCCCGTTGGTCCAACAAAACAGGGGTCCCTCAAACAAAACATAAAACCGACGGTTTGTGGCGGCTCATCTCTGCGAACTGCCAAGCTGCGAGCTCCACCTCTTTGGCATCTGGCATCAGCTCCCTGCGCTTGAGAACCCGTGCCACAAATCGAGTGGCTCTGAGGGGAACCCATCAACAAATTGGGTGGCTTCGCATGGGGGGTTTCTCTTGGGAGTAGCGGGTGAGTGCAGGGTGGAGTTTTGAGAACAAACCCAAAGAGGGTTCTCCACACAGGGGAACCATGGGTTGTTTATGACAGTTTCCCTTTGGTGCCCCAAGATAACCGAAAAGGGTACCCTCAAACCATGACACGCACTCCTACGGTTGACATTAGAGGTTGTTGCATTTACCAGATGTGGTACAATCCAAGAATTGTTCTCTGCTATTTAGACATGAATTGGCAATCCATGCGGGGTGCATCTGCTTCGCGACGCTAATGGCCAGGACCTGACTGATTACCAGTGCTCCGGTGGAGTCATCATGCGCAAAGCGCTCGTTGTCTTTCCTCAAAGTCTGCAGGATTGGGGAAAAGCAAGCCCCAGCATCCCGGCGCCTGACCATTTCCTCCACTTCCCTGGCATAGATGCGAGAGATCGGCGTCTCTATCTTTGGCATTCCAACACCTGGGCGCATCTCTGGCCACTCCAAAGCTCGAAAGCCCTGAAATGCGCAATGTCACCAATGTCATGCAATATGCAAAGTTGAGACAGAAATGGGAGGAAGGCCTGGAACTTGTCGAGAAAAAAAAGAAAAAACAAGCTTTGGGAGGGCTCCGGAGTGTTCCTCGAAGGGTTCGAAGATTTGACGCAACGTAAACAAGAAAAAAGTTCCGCGAAACGAGTTTTACACAGTGGAAGTCTTGAAGTCAACTTGAGTGACGCGCGATTTGTCAAGGTTCCGTGGTGCCGGCTATCCAGCGCGCGCCCTTCCCAAAACTGTCCGACCAGTCAAGCGTCAACCTTAGGCCAACAACCCATCCATGACAGTGCCAACAAACAATGTGTGCGTCGCCACATGCGGGGCCCCTCCCCAAAACCAGTGTTGTCTGATTATTCCCCTCAAAAAAGGAGCACCCAAACGTCGACCCCCGCCCATTCTCTCAGACAAGGCAAGCGATTTCTCCACAGGATGAAGGGTGAACGGGATCAGCCTTTAGAGCTGTTTTGGACGACATGCTGTGCAAATTGCTGCCATTTCTAAGCCAGAAAAAGACTCCCCCTACCCCAGGAAGGAATGCTCATCATGCGTTAGCTCATTTTTCCCCCAGTTCAGGTGCAGAATTAGGGCCCTGCCCGCTCTACCCTCCAGAAAGCTTCTAAGAACCTTTCTGAGAATCTCTAAGAAGCTTCGAAGAATCTTTCCTGGGGTGACCTGGTTTTGAGGCCTTTTTTGGCAAAAAAAAACAAGGAGAAAAACATGGACCCAGGCATACCAGGGCCTTTGGTTTGTGCCCTATGACCAGCTCTTCAAAATTTGCCCAACCGCTGGGCATGGCCCAGCCGCGGCGCCGGTGAAGTTGGAGAGGTCCAAGGTCTTCGGGGCGCACCGTGTCCAGTCCTGACGGCGCTTCTCAAAACGGACCACCCGGTTGGAAAATCAAAAGGGAAACTTCCGTGGGGACAAAAACAAGTCCAACGTGTTGGTTTGCCTCTTAAAACGGTCTTGCCAACAAGGTGTCAAGTCCACGAGCTGGGGACGTGAGGAAGTGAGCTCACCCAGAGAAAAGTAGCATGATTCCTCGGGGCCCGAAAGAGAGAAACGCGAGCTCTGTCAGAAAAGTAAGCCCACAAGAACTTTGTTGCTTGCAACTAGTATGATTCTTAAACCTGAAGTACTGTACGTCATAGTTTTGAAACGAACGGGAGTTGGAGCCAAAAGCCTTCTGTAAGACACACGCGCAACAAAGAAACACACATATGCGCACACAAACAACGATACAACCAGAGAGACAAGCAGAGAGACAGACAACCAGAGAGGCAAAGGCAACTAGAAAGAAAGAAATTGGCAAAGACAAACCCACAAAGAAACACACACAACACACAAGCGCAAACAAACATTCAAACACACCCACGCGCATGCACACATACACACACAGACACCAATTCGCCCAGAACGGCAAACACTCAGCTAACACGGCAACAGCCCACACACACACACACGCACAAAGCGGCGCACCCAGCGTTCCCTCCCGTGTGTCGCTGATTTGGACCCCATGCCCATTGGGCCCCTAAGGTTGCTTCTCAAAAACTCTTCAGCTGCCCTGCCCCGCCTCTGCTCGCATCTGCGTCTTCCTCTCCAGCAGTACAAAGCCATGCTTCTCAAAGAACTCGCGCTTCCTCAAAGGTTGATCTATGGACAGGAGTCAAGCATCATGTTGGATGAGCTTGACAAGGCCTAGTGCGCCAGCTTACTGCACAAAGCACTTCACAATTGCAACGCATAGACTTCAACAGCAAGCTTTGAAACAACAATGTGGAGTGCAATGAAACAAGCCATGCCAACCAAAGTCTAGCTATTGTAGCATTGGCTCAAATATACTTTTTCCCTAGGGGTAGGTGGTGTGGAGAACCGGAACCTGCTTAAGTTGTATGACATGTTTGTCTCAAACTCGTATTGTTTCCCTTCAACCTGCCGCTTGTGGGTGACTTTGATCATAGGAAAATAATGGCGCCATCAAACAATGTGTTCTATGATTCTGCAGCTTATATCTAGACCCGCAAACAATTGCCAGAAATGGCTCGAGTTGTCTTGGATTGCTGGCAGGCTCCAATCACAAGTCCCAAAAGCGAAGCAGCCTGCTCGTGACTGCCTCATCCTCTGCGTTGTGGCTCACGGCATGTTTCGAGCTTGTGTGGGCTTCGACCGTGATGCCATTATGCTATGCGCGCTGGCCAGCACAGGCTTGATCTTGCGATTCTGGGAGAAGGCTACAGTGCAATTGTAACTGTGTGACCTGTGAATCGGGGACTGGTGCTGACAAGCAAATCCTGAACAATAATGATTTAGATCCAAGCCCTTGGATCTTTCAAGACAAGCTGCTGTGACTCACCACCAATAATATGCACTAATGATTGCAATTCATCGAAGCGAATCAAGGGACCTCCCAAGTAAGGGATCTTCGAAAACAATCCCGGAGAGGATCAGGAAGGAAGGGCGATTGAGGAATTGGATTGGCAACCACACCATGCTTGCCCTCAGGAAATTGGATTAGGGACCGCATCGATCCTGCTCGAAGGTTCGTCAGATTGCCTGTAACCAGCTAGGAGGTCGGTCAGTTTGCTAGCAATCGACGCTCTCTGATGAAACCAAAACAACCCTTGCTTAGCACGGGCTTGCAGTTCAATTTAGGAGAACAGCCTGTGCAACTGCTTGCTCTGCCATAGTCAAAAGGACGGGTGTCGCAAGTGTTCAGGATCCGATGATTGCAAAACAAGCCCTCGGAAGCCCTGAGCACCCGCACAACCAAGCCCTGCGTCAAAGGCTTTCTTTGGGAAGTGTATCGGATGACATGATTCTGCAAAGAATCCAGGCAACGCTTGCATCAGTCTCCGAACATTGACATGTAATAAGGCTTAATAAGGAACTAGGCATCTGAAGAAACAACCATACAGTTTACAACAACCAAAAGTTGAGTCGCTTCACACAGCTATTAACCACGATTTATAATTTGTATAGTATGGGTAAAAACATCATGTTCTTCCATTCAGCAAACAACCCACGATCTCGCCTTGTGTAAAAAGAGGGGTCGCCTCTTGCTAATGTTGGGTGCACAGGTGGACAAATTACAACAGTTGCATTCCCTTCTGGCGTCCTAGACGAATCGCGAATGATGGGCTAATATAGCACCCAGCACGTCAACCTGAGAAGTCCAGCCCGCCTCGCTCAAGCCAAAGGCACGACAAGCCTTCCATGGCTTCTTGCTCTCTGGCATTGAAGACCTTCACTGTCACCTCAGCCCATTGCGCGACTTACGGACGGTTTCTGTGGACAAAGAACACACCACATACACACAATATTTTGCACCAGCAGGAAAGGACTCATTCCCCCTCCCGAAACTGACTGCATGTTTGCTGCCCAAAATCAATTCACTTTGACTGCATCAGCCATTTTTGCGTCTACATACCTTTGATGGCTGAGAACCTGAGCCAACGGAATGCCATACGCACCTCAACATACAAGACTCTGTCTATGTCCGATGTCTCAGGCCTCAGCCATGCCCGAGAACAACTCTGATTGCATGGCGCTTGTCCTACTAATTGCGGCGAGCATGCACTTGAAGGTGCACGGCCATCGCAGAAGCAAGTGTGTGTTGCTTGTCCAGCTACGAGCATTTAACCCATCAAACAAGCAAAACACGGCAAACCATGCAGAACAGGAGTGATCGCACTCGGCCAATTTAAAAGGTATCTCCAAAAAAATGGAGACCCCTTTCTATGGCGCTTGAAGGCATACCAAAACTAAAAGCTATCATTAGTGGAGGGGGGAAGTTTGCTTTGGGGAAACACCATTTTTTCAATACATGCTGCTTGGCTTCTCCTAAGAGCTGGATCTTTGGACGCGTCCTGTTTCTGTCCTACAATGACCGCCCACAAACCGATGAACAAACTGGTTTGCCTCTGCCAACACAACACAGTCTATAAGGAGAATCCTAGTGTTTGGGAATCACCGGGTAACATCGTTCCGAAGACCCAGCTTCCGATCTCTGATGCAACACTAGATGAAGCTGCCAGACCATCTTGGGGGCACTCAAAATTACTTTTCGCGGTGGTTTCCCTTTGAATCGCTAGTAAAAGCCTAACTGTGAGCATGTCACTCTAATGGATCGAGGATGAATTGCATGTTTTGTGCCCAGAGAGTGGGCCTTTCAACGTCTCTCGCAGAGATGTTCAAACACGTCTGGTGGTTCAGCACCCCCAGGAAGAATATGACCACTGTCCATAAGGCAAAGACCAGAGCAAGGCTCCTTGGCAGCAACTTGAAACGCTGAGCGTCGGATGGCCGCCGGAGGTTGGCGAAGTATCTGCCAGTCTCCCAGATGCTGCCGAAAGACAACGGAGGCCAAAGTGTCACGGGATGCCTCGGGTAAAGCTACGTCTAAATGTATGCAAACTCTCAACCCGGAAAGGACGGGACGGGCATTTTGACACTCCCTGAGAACACATGCTGTCCACTGCACTCCTTCCATGTCTGTCCCTACCAGAATGTGGATCTGGGTCTGGATAAAGTAAACTAAGACAATCAACGCCTCTGTCTGTGAATCTGCAGAATTGAGATGGCAGGGTTGCATGCAAGCCAGGAGCCTTGTACATACGGTCCAAATCCATGGATTCAGTCAACAAGGCCCTAGGCCTTGGGTACCAAACATGTGTTTGAATGCTTGGTTTGTTCAAACTTCCTTCGCACATGCAGCTGATGATTCTTAATGCAGGGCAATTACGACAAGGGCCCCCCAGCCAAACTTCCAAATGCTCACATAGCGGGGAGGGGTATATGAGGACTTCAGGAATGTATATGCGGGCGGTCTAGGTGGGAAGGCCTTGGTTTGCCTCAGGTGCCGTGAGGGGGTGGCGTACCTCTGCTTTTTGATTAAGCCCCAAGAAGGGGATCTCTCGAAAGGAAATTCCTCATTTGCAGAGTGAGGCATGGGAGGTGTGGAAGGTTCCAAATATTGGCTGGCGTTTACTCGAAGTCGCTGCTCCTAATCCTTGCGTAGACCCTTGTCTACCTCTTGTTTGAGACGCCGGAAGCATATCACATTGGGTGTAGATGTACGTCTGCGTGCGCCCACATTCAAATACAAAGCATATTCCGCTAGAATCCAACTGAGCTTCAGGACTTCAAGGTGGATAAGGTTTCCACGAGGCCAAGGAGTCGAGGGGTCTTCAGGTTATTTTTCTGGAACGCAATGCTAAGCAGGGGTGGTTCCCCTTTGCGCGCCATGCAGATAGGAAAGCCCTGGCTGCCACTACGGGGTTTTGATTTTGGGTGGGGCTTGAAGCCGACTGCGTCTTCCAGGTCTACTCTGTGGCTTCTCCGCCACAATGCCCCCAACCACGATTCCACCAATTCGCAAAGATTGCTGGCCGATGGTTTGCATCTTTTATTACCAACCAGTGCAAACTTGACACGCAATGCTGAGCGGGTGATCTTGAGCGAATGCTTATGGGGGCTGCAGGGGAAGGGCTCATGTCCAGACTCCTAGGCTGCAGCACTAAAAATCATATCGAAAGTAGACAACTGCCAAATATCGTCAAGTCTCTCGCAATAAGGCTTCAGCACTAGTTGTTAGCTGCTGTTAGCTTGCGGGCTCACTACAACCAAGGTTCCTTGCGGCGTGCGGACGAAAACTGTGAGTCGTGTTAACCCGATTGTGGGTTCAGTGCCACAGGGCCGCAAATGATGCAATCAACGTGGTTGGGTGCGGACCCCTTTGGGCAGGTTGAGCAAAACAACCGCCTTTTGTGCGATCCATGATCCAAAAAAAAACACAGCAGTCTCCGAAGGTACCTTCTTAAGCAGGGAGCTCATGCATTTGAGGGCAATTCCTCGGACTTGCCCGTTGACGTTTGGTTCTATCAACATGGCTGCACAGGTTCACCTACAGCCCTGACTACATCCTTCATAATGTTGCCTATACGGGGCTAAATCATGTTCTCGGATATAGTGTGGTCATGACTTAACCTGGTTGTAAGGTACCGCGCGACCGTATTCTAAATATCTAGGCCCTTGTAGTAGACCCTCCTAAAGTGGCCACCAGCCGTTTGGGCGCTCTGGCATGAACCCAGCCATGCCAAGAAGCCAGTCTCCCAATCGCACAAAGCCCTTGTGGTGGAGGCCCATGAACCTGAGAAATCTGAGCTCCGAACAGGCTACTATGTGTCTGTGGGTGTGTCCTGTGTATAACCGGGGGGTATCCTTTTGAGGTTAAGGGGAAACCCAGCGAGCTGCGAAGATCGTTGATCCCAAGGTCAAACATCGAGCGGGACATGTCATACATCTCTCTACGCTCAAGTCCCAGTGGCTAACCGCCTTGGGAGCTTCTTCACAAGAAACATCGCCTACCCATCGGATTCCACCGGGCAAATCACTCACCAACCTGAAGCAGGTCTTGCAACAGCTGGAGTCGATACTAGCTCCCTGGTGCAGGATACTGTCCATCCACAGTACCAAAGCGACCTTCATAAGTAGGGCCTAGGTGATGAGGTCGTGAACATTTGCCCGGAATATGGGAATATGGGAATATCGTGGAATACCCCCTACATACCAGCTGTAAGGGATGATCGTGAAAGGAAACACATGGAACAAAGGCTGAGGCATTATCCACATCGGTCACCTATGCCAACCATGTCCATGTCTGATCTTTTCCTGAACTGATTCTTACGTGGTATGCAACTCTCAATCGACGGTTGCAGTCGTGGCCGGGCTTGGTGATGCGCTTTCCATGACCAAGCTGGCCATTCAATCAGAGTGCTGCGGACATCATTAACCACTTTACGGTGAAAAGCTACATGGAATCGGTCTGCAGTTTCATCCAAAAAGGATCTTTTACAGGAAGCACATCTGTGAAACATCACCAGAGTGACAACCACTGGCAATCTCAGCAAACATCCACCTCACCAAGTGAAAAGAGCCATATGCTATCCTCCCCAACCAGATCTGAGGAATTCCAGGCATCCCTTAGCATCCTGGACATTTGAGCACAAAAGGGTCTGCTGCTGTTTGTGCCTTCTCTTCTTGTGAGGTGCCAAGCTTCTACGCTACCTGAAGACCGCAGCAAACAACGGTGTCCAAGAACTGGAAAAGGACACCAGTCTGGTTGTCTGGTGGTTTTCCCTGAGGCTTGTTGGGACAATGGACACACATTTAGAATTTTGGGATGGGTTGAGAGCTTGCGGGCCCCGCCAAAAGCGTGCGGAACTGGTAACAATTGCTCATAGGATCCAAACCACCCTCCTCCAACCCGCGCCCCTGCCCTGGTTTCCTCCAAGGAATACTTCAGCAAGGCCTCCGCAAAGCCTTATAACTTATCAGACTTATCACATTCTTACTTTGGGAAACAGGGGAGAGGACGGGATGGGGGGCAGGGGTATGGAAGTATGAAGCCCTCATTCAGAGGAAAGCGGGACTAAGAGTCGGGCTAAGAGGATCGGCAACACAGCCAAATGCCAAGCTGCTGGGCTTCCACATAGCTCGTCTCGCATCGCACAGTGGCCTGGCTCGAACCGTGGGGGACGAGCACGGGCTGACAAAAAGGACACTGGTTGATTCCATGGAACCAAAAACCGGTGCTAAAGCGCCGCCACTTGAATTTCCCATGAATGTCCTGTCAGCTTGGCATGTGTCCATCATGGCTGCGAATTACTCGGAAAATATATCTCAAAGCAGAATGCATGGAACAACAGTATTTTCAGGCATGCCTGAAACGAATCAGTCGACAATATGATGGTTGGCTTTCGGCTAGGACGGTCCCAAACCCGGGCACATTCAAAACGGGCATGTCGGACTAAGTGTGCATAACAAAAAAACACTTCCCCCACCTCACGCCCCCCCCCCCCCCCCCCCCACTCTTCCCCCGAACAAAAACGCACAACCACTGAAAACCATCCAAATAGACCAGCAAAAGCACCCAACACTACGCTGCCAGGTCTCTTATCAACTTGCTTCCACCAAGAGAGGGCTGAAGGGCATGCAGGATTCCAATGCGTATTGGTTCCTGTTTGCTAGAATCCGCAGTGCCTGCATAGACATGTATATGAGACCTCGCTCTCCAACACTGCACACCTCGTTTTCCACTGCCGCATGTGATTGAAAACCGAACCGGAAACCGGTTAACCGAACCGGCTTTCAAAACCGCAAGAAAGCCGGAAACAAACCACAAACCAAACTGAACCGAACCGAACAGAAACCGAACCGTCCCCAGGTTTGCAGGGGCAGCAAGCGTCAAAGCAACAAACCCGCATTGTTGGCCGGCTCTGGTTCTGATTTTTGCTTCCGCAGTGCTCGCAACACACGAAACACCGCTGAAATTTGGAAAGCAGAAAAAGGCGGCCCACGAGCGGTCAGTCACTTGTTTTCTTGGGCTGCTCGGCTTTGGCACAGACAGCATCGCCAACAGCACCGCCACGGGATCCCGTTCCAAGGCGGCAGCAGGGGGATTGGAACCCGCAAACTTTAACTGAACTGCCGGAATAGCTCCACGTCCGAGCATCAACCTGTCTCACCAACTCCTCCGGCTCCCGCAGGATTGCCCGAGCACCCTGTTGCAGCCTGGCTGCGCCAGCAGCGCGAAAAAAACAACTTACTGACGGTCAGTGGGTTGTTGTTTTTTTTGCGCGGCCCGGCTTGGATTGGAACAGCTTCTCGCGGGCCGAACGGGAGGAAAACTGAGTTGCCCGCTGTCACTGTAAGGGCTTGCTCTCAAACTTTGCCTGAACTGCCGGAATAGCTCCACGTCCGAGCATCAACCTGTCTCACCAACTCCCCCTGCTCCCGCAGGATTGCCCGAGCACCCGGTTGCAGCCTGGCTGCGCCAGCAGCGCGAAAAAAACAACTTACTGACGGTCAGTGGGTTGTTGTTTTTTTTGCGCGGCCCGGCTTGGATTGGAACAGTTTCTCGCGGGCCGAACGGGAGAAAAACTGAGTTGCCCGCTGTCACTGTAAGGGCTTGCTCTCAAACTTTGCCTGAACTGCCGGAATAGCTCCACGTCCGAGCATCAACCTGTCTCACCAACTCCCCCTGCTCCCGCAGGATTGCCCGAGCACCCTGTTGCAGCCTGGCTGCGCCAGCAGCGCGAAAAAAACAACTTACTGACGGTCAGTGGGTTGTTCCCTGGGCATCGGCTATTGATTTAAATCAATGGGAAGTTCATGTTCTGAATTGATATTGATTTTTGTCGTTTCTATTGATTAAATCAATATTTGAAGTATGTTGTGTTTTCCCAAATTCTGTTGATATTAATTTGTCATTTTCTTCTTGCTTTCTATTGATTCTTTTTTGACAATTCTATTGATGTGAGTTTGGGTCCTGTGCCTCTGGAACTTGGGCTCAAATCCTAGAATGCTTGTGCACATGGGCAACCCTTGATAAAAGGGATTGCTTGCCAGCGCCCTTGGTAAAAGGTATAGTGCCCTTGGTAAAAGGTCACTAGTGCCCTTGGTAAAAGGGTCATGAGTGTTGGCAAAGGTGGGGCCAGGCACACCCCCAAACCTCACATAGACCCAGGACTGCTCCTCAAGGAGATTTCCAAGCACTCAGGCTTGATTCAAGATCTTGGCAGCTATGAAAAAATCTCTAGGTCACAGGCATGTGACCCAAAAGGCCTGTGGGTCTGCTTGCCCTTGCTAAAAGGGCTGGTTGAACTGTCACCCATATGTGAGATTCATGGGGCTTGCCTCAGGCAAGCTATGTTTCAAGTCTTGCTGGGTGAGCCCTCCTTGAACAGCACCAAATGGAATGGATCAGTGTGGGTGGGGCTGAAGGTGGAGCGAATAACAATCCTCCTGTCCCACATGAGGCGGCTCCTGGGGCAAAATGAGATGCAAGCATGTGCCTCCAAGCTGACTGGGGCTGAATTCCTGCAGTTGCAGGAAGTTGTGAAGATGATCCAGCAGAAAAAGCAAGTGGCAGCAGACCCCACCCTTGCTGAAAGGGAAAAAGGAAACCCCACCCTTGTTGAAAGGGAAAAAGCAGACCCCGCCCTTGCTGAAAGGGAAGCATCACACACACCCCTTCCTGAAAGGCCAGAAGACGCCAGAAAGCTCAAGAAAGAGGTTTCTGAGGCAACTGTTGATTCTGAAGGCTTTCCATTGGCCTTACAAACGCCTGACAAAAGCCAAAGCCCCTTGGTAAAAGGGGATGGGGTGGACAAGGGGGGGAATGATGCAACCCTACAGCAGCCACCCTCTTTCAAAAGGAGGAGGAAAGGCAGCTTAGCAACACAACCAGCAGCCACAGAAGAGGGTAAACAAAGGTTAAAAGATGCCTTGGGCATTGGCAAGGCCAAAAAGGCAAAGACCAAAGCAAGGAACCACAAAGCAAGTTCTTCCACAAAACCCTTGGTAAAAGGGAAAGGCTCCAGAAAGAAAAAGCCATTGGTAAAAGGTGCAAAGCCCTTGGTAAAAGGTGCAGCTGTAAGAAAGCCATGGGCAAAGCTCTATGTCACCCAAACTGCAAAGCCACCATGGAGAGCTTACATAACAGGCACTACAGACCCAAAGGGGAAGCCAAAACTAGTTGTGGAAACAACAGAAAGGAACCATTCTGGAGTTGAGGGCAAGCCTCTACAAAACACACCCTTGCTAAAAGGTGACAATGTGAAAGTTTTAATGGCATCACCCTTGGTAAAAGGGAAGGGTTACCTGTACAGCTATACCCTTGGTAAAAGGGGCAGAGCACAGCAGCTTGGTGTCAAAAACAGTGCGTGCAGAATTGTTGCCCCCTCCCCCCCCCCCCCCCAGGGTGAGACACATATGTTGTTTTTTTGTTTGTGCCCCAAGGGTAGTTTAAATGGACTGCCTTCTAATGATGCCCAAACACATGTTCACCTGTCATTTTTGAGGGTTCCCTGTCAACATGTTTTTTCTTGGGCAGTGATGCCACATCCTTGAGCCAAAGACCCTGCAGCCATTTGCATATGCTCAAGCTTGTGTGTTTGCTAGTTTGATGTCCTTGGTAAAAGGACAATAGGGGCCAGCCTTGGTAAAAGGCCAATGCCTGGCTACACATGGCATGGCTACACATGGAACAACAAAGGCAGGCCCTCAGGCACTGGCACAGTGAGCAGGGCAAGAGCAGAAAAGTTCAAGAAAAAGGGCGAAGAAAGAGTAGCCAGAGAAAAAGCTGAGGCTGAGGAAAAGGCCAGGCAAGAAGAGCAAGAACAATCTGCACCCAGCTCCCTTGCAAAAAGGGAAGAAGAGAAGCCTGCAGGGCCCAGCACCCTTGATAAAAGGGAAGAGGGGCAGCCAGCAGCACCCAGCTCCCTTGCTAAAAGGGAAGAAGAGAAGCCTGCAGAGACAAGCACCCTTGATAAAAGGGAAGAAGAGAAGCCTGCAGAGCCCACCCTTGTTAAAAGGGAAGAGGGGCAGCCAGCTGCATCCAGCACCTTTCTTGAAAGGGAAGAAGAAAAGCCTGCAGAGCCCACCCTTGATAAAGAACAGCCAGCACCATCCACCCTTGTCAAAAGGGAAGAAGAAAAGCCTGCAGAGCCTAGCCCCCTTGATAAAAGGGAAGAAACAAAAGAGCAGCAAGCTCAAGACAAGGAGCCAACAAGTGAGGCTCTTGGCAAGGCCCCTTCAAAGAACAAGCAGGCAAAGGACCAACAGCAAGAGGGCCTGGTCCTTGGCCCCAGCCCTGCCCAAAAAAGCAAAGAGCTTGTTGCAGCTGAGTCCTCTTTGGAGGACTCTGTTGACTGGGGCACCTCCTCCTCAGAAACAGAAAGCTCCAGCACCCCTGCAGCCAAGCCCCAGGCAAGCAAAGCCACCCTTTGTAAAAGGGTAAGTGTGTTCAGCCCTGAGAGGCAAGCCCAGCCTACCCTTGAAAAAAGGGCAAGAACAAACACGGCCACAACCCCTGCAACAAAGAGAAAAGCCCTCCTTGATGAAAGGAGGGAACCCCCAATGTGGCGGCTGAAAAACGCCCCCAAAGCCAGTGTGGCAGTGGACTGGCACAATGTCATTTGCTGCAATGATGCCCTCCAGCTCCATCAATGCCTTGGAGAAGCTGGACCTTGCTGGGTATACAGTCCACATGGTGTCCTACTGTGGCCCTGCAAGGGAACAGCAAGTGAGAAAAAAGCTTGCTGAATTGAAATTCCGCTTTGCCAGTGTTACCTTTACAAGGAGCAGGGACAAGTCAGGGGGCAAGGGTGAATGGTGCCAGCAGCACAGGGTCGAGGTCATCTTTGATGACTCCATGGAGGTGCTGAATGACTGCTGGGCCAGGGGGCTCTGGGTGTATTGCATCCAAACAAACTACAACAGAAAAAGGTGGAAGTATGATTCCTACCCCACTTTGATGGATGCTGTGGAAAAATTCCTGGAGACAAGCTCCTAAAACAAAGGGCTGGCACCACTTCCCTTGATAAAAGGGATGCCTTCCATTACCCTTGTTAAAAGGGAATTGCAAATGGCCCCAACGCAAGCTGCCCTTGATAAAAGGGAGAGTGGTGGAACCTACACCCCCTTGATAAAAGGGAAGCCAGCTGAGCCCTCCCC